TACCCATAATTTAATAAGAGATTCTCTATTAAAACTATAGTAATCTATAAGGTAGATATTTTAGAGAGAACTATATCTTAAATACTATTTAAAGCTAATATTAGTAGCATGATATTACTATAGATATTAAGGAATATATCTAATAATATATAGTCTACTAGTAAATTATAGTATATAGATATAAGCTATAYAGACTTTTATAAYCCYTACTAGTCCTAGAAAAGCTAATRGACTAGGTTARYATRGATTTTATTATAGATTTACTACTATTATAGTAGGAAAATAAAGTCTATAATTTAATTCTAATTATAGTAGATATATATACTAAATATATAGTCTATTACCCCTCTAGGAAGGATATAACTATAGAAAACCTTATTAAACTAATCTATATAAGATTTATATTATACTTCAGAATGCTATAGAACCTTATCAGTAACTAGGGATCTTTATTTATATTAGGATTTTAGTCTAGTCTGTACTTCCTACTAGCTACTAAATACTACCTATCTATGGTATTTCATCCACAAACTAATAGTTAGATAGAAAGGTAAAACTAAATATTAGAATACTATCTCTATACTTATATAAACTACTATTAGGATGACTAGATAAGATGGCTACTATATATCTAATTTATCTATAATAATTCTAAATATTTAGTACTAGAAATTCCATTAGTATAAGTACTTATAGGCTATAAACTAGAACTATAGATTAATATTCTATAAATAACTAATAATCTTAACCTAAATACTATTATATATATAGAAGATCTCTAAGCTATAAGGGAATTCCTATTAAATTAACTAAATATAGTAAAGGAAGCTATAAAGCATTACTATAATTAGAATTATCTTAATATAATATTCTATATTAGTAAATGGGTTATGCTATACATAAAAAATATTAATATAGGTAGATCTAGTAAGAAGCTAGACTACTAGTAAATAGATCTATTCTAGATTAGTAAATCTATAAGAAAATAAGTCTATAAGCTAAAGCTCCTACTATAATTCTATAAGCTATATCTAATATTCTATATCTTACTACTTAAACTATTCTAAGGGGACTCTAATATAGATCTAAAGCCTAGACTAGTTAAGCTTAATAGATACTAAGAATAGTAGGTAGAAAAGATCTTAGATAATTAATTATACTATAGAAAATACTAATATCTAGTTAAGTAGACTAGATAGCTAGATTCTAATAATATATAGGAGCTAGAAGAGTATATTATAGATATAGAAGCTCTTAAGCACTATCTTATATCTAGAACTCTATAATCTAGGAGTACTACTATAAGGTAACCTAAATAATATAGGAAAAAGTCTTAATTTAATTACTATATATATAAAAAAATAGAAAAGTAGTATATAGGCTATATAAATATATCCTTCTACCTATCTAGCCTATATACTACTAAAAACTAAGCTAACTAATTATATAGTAAACTATAGAGAATCCTAGAGTAGAGAGAGGTAATATAGCCTATAGAGATAGAGTAATAAACCACTCTAGAGAAAGAGATAGTAAGGAAGCTAGGGCTAGGGGAGATAAAGTAGGGGCTAGGGCTATAGATATAATAATCTAGACTACTAGTATAGCCTATATAATTAGTATTACTAGGATATAATCTAAGGTATTAGTAATTACCCTTCTTTAGAGAGGGGGGTAGATATAAAATACTATATAAATATAATACTATTTATCTAAAGGCACCTGTAAAGTATTAGTAAAATCTATAAAAAGAGGAATTATATAACTCTAAAATCTAAGAGGAAAAGTTAAATTTAACCTAGAATTACTAAAGAAAAAGTAGATTTTATTAAAAATCTATAAGATATAACTATAAAATAAAAGGAATCTATAATAAAAGACTATAAATAGGCTAAATACTAATAAAATATAGCTAGATTAGTAATAATATAGAAGAAGGAGATACTTATATAGATATACTTATACTTTTTTAGAGTATAGTAATTATAGGCCTTCTATATATAGCTATTTATTATAAAATAGTTATAGTAGTAGTACTAGGGGTTATAGAGCTTTACCTAAAGATATAAAATATAAGGAACTCTATAAGATATTATTAGTATATAATTCTATAAAGCTAGGGTCTTACTAGTATTAATAATATTAATTCTCTCTCTTATAGACTTTCCCCCTTTTATAATAGGGAAGGGAAATATATTAATAAGTAAAATTACTATTATATAATATAAAGAACCTATATCTAATAAACTTTAGATAATCTTAAYTATRAAATAATAGAATTATAAGATAAAGGAAAATAATAAGTTATAAGATAATAGAATTATAAGATAAAGAAAAATAATAAGTTATAAGATAATAGAATTATAAGATAAAGGAAATATTAAATTATGAGAATAATAGAATTATAAATAAATAAAGATATTAATAAAGCTATTTAATTTAGATAAAGAATTATTAAATATATATAAGAAACTATTTAATAAAGGGAAGTAAGACCTATAAATCTAAACTATTATTAGTCTAATCTATTAAACTAATTACTTAACATAGAATTTACTATCTAAAATTAACTATTTAGCTATTAGATACAGGCTAGAGAGTAATAAATAGAGTAAGGAAGCTATAAAAGATAAAGAAGAATCTATATTACTAAATTAATTAAGAGATCTTACTAAGTAGGCATCTTAATAGTACTAATAAGAGAAGAGAAGAAGGAGAAGTTCCCTAGAGATCTATAAATCTACTTATACTATAGGAAATATAATATATCTTTATAGGTCTATAATAATTACTATTAATTATTTACCTATAATAGAATTAAAATAAATACTATAACCTATAATAGTAATAGAATATATTATCTACTAATAAGAGATTCACTCCTGCATTTTAAATAACTATAGGAAGATAATATTAACCTAGGAAGGTAAAGCTCTTTAGATTTCTAAATTAGGAAGTATTATAGCTTTAAGGGTAAAGCCTATAAGGAAGGGAGATAATTATTAAGGGCTATAGTAAACTATAAAGCTACTATATACTACTAATATTAATAGTATAGAGGGTTTAGACCTAGAAGATTATATAATCTACTATACATACCTCTATAATTAGCTAAGTATTCTATAACTTAGTAATTAGTTCTCCTTACTTAGGTAACATACAGATAATTGCTCCCTTCATGCTGATCTTACCAGTTGATATTGACCCTTAGTAGGCGATCTTACAATAAGGTAGGAGCTATAGCTATTAAATATAAGTATCTATTTCTCTCCCTTCCTTATATATTCTGGTTTATCTGTTACCTTAATGAAGCTTTAAAGCCATTAAATAGCAAGCTTATCTAATATCTAGCTATTAGGAGATGTTACTATTATAGTATCTAGTGGTAAGGCCTTACTCTTATTAAACTAGGTTTCTATGAAGATTCTGTTACCTTTAGGAAGTGAGAATAGATTAGTATTTAAAGAGAAGAATTATTAGAATCTTACCTTTAAAGATAAACTAGGGATCTATATACCATCTATCTATAGTAATATATTTAATAGCTATAATATTCTCTCCTCTTTCAGCCTTAGTAAGGTTAGGGACTGAAGCTTTCCCTTTATCTTTTATAGTAATCTTTATACTAATTACATTCCTAGATTTGCCTTCGCCAGGTTAGAATCCATATTTATTAAAGTTATATACTAAGCACACTGGAGTATCTTTAATCATATTCATAAGCTAATTATACTAATATCCTAGTAAACCTGCATCCTTAGCCTAGATACACTTTAATTCCTTTGTATTCTGCCTCACTAGGCCTAGATTAAGGTGTTCTGGGAGTTATTTCTTAAAGTAATATACCTATATCTTACTAACCTATCTAGATTCCCCTGCGCATTAAAGTACCTGATTTATATACTCTTCTAGTAGCTTAAGCATTACTAGCATGTTTTAATCATGCATACTAATAATCTACTAGATTAAGGCCTCCTCCTGGTATCCCTTAAGGGCTCTATTAACTAGTTTATTAGCTGTTTAAGGATGCATATGCTTCTTGATATGATCACATAGGGTAGCATAAGGAACACTATATTCATGTGTAATCTTAGAGATATTTAGTTTTTTTTAGGCCTAAGCAGCCTCGCAGGCCTTGAGGAGGTAAGATTTATTAATTTTAGAAGATTTAGGCATACTGGGTGGTTGGAATAGCTTCAAATAGTTAAAATCATGATTTCTATCAAAAAATAGTGGATTTGGTGTGGTTAGTGGTTTTGCTGTGGCTCACCCTCAACGCGGAGCAGTGAGGGGGGGCCTTAGTCATGGATAACTGCGCTGATAAGGGTCACAGAGTGGTACTTAGCGCGGAACCCAAACTCTATCTAACGATTGACTAAGGAAGAGATCTACGCCCCAGGAGACGGCGCCAGGTCCTGCCGGGAATCTCTCATGTAACAGGACTTGTCCTGCGTCTTTACCGACTTGGATCAACTGTCAGATAACACTTGCTAGGGGCCTACATGCAGGTTATGGCCTCCAAAAACCTGAGGAATAAATCAGGTGTTTACCACGGCAACCAGAGCACGTGACATGACCTTCGCCCACTCCTATTCAAGGGAACACATTGTAATGCTGGAGTATCAAACTTCATTTTCTCCACATTCTATAACGACACTCTACGGCTTGAATTCTATTCCTGTCCTGGGCCGTGTTAGATACTTCAAAGATGAATCAGTCCACGTCAAGCATCCCACTTGTGGTATAACTGTATAAGTGCTATCGTGTTCCCAGGAAGGCAAGCTTCTATGGTCCCGTGTTACATACATGACCGCGATGAGCCAATTATTGACTCCTAGACAAGCAGAGGAACTGTACGTACCTGCAAGGTTCTGAAATTTTTCAGTTCATGTACTAACGCGCAATCAGGCACAAGTCCATACTTGGCTACCTTTCATCAATAAACGCGCGTGGGAGCTCAGCAGCTGTGCGGGAAGAGCTTGGCATTGGCGACAATTTCGATGAAGAAACTTGCAAAAAGTACAAAGGGCTATTGGAGAAAAAATGGACAGGAGTGGCTCGACTACAGAGGAAGGCAGGATTCCTGGAGCTTTTCCTTAGGCCACTCGCAAGGAGTGGGGCTGATCGATTCACAGATATTAGAATTAGAGTCCAGCATCGCCGGCCTGAAAGCCGAGCTCGATTCCGTCGCACCCCGGAAACGGTCGAAACAGAATATAGACCCCGCAGATTGGCTTCCCGGATTGTCCTCAACGCATCTACTCGAATCACACAGAGACACCGTAACGTGCATTGCCTTCCATCCCCTGTTCACATCGCTCGCCTCGGGGTCTGAAGATTGCATGATCAAAATATGGAACTGGGAATTTGGTCAACTGGAACGGACTCTCAAGGGACACGTGAGACCGGTGTCTGGCCTTGATTTCGGCGGCCAGAAAGGGAACACTCTGCTAGCGTCCTGTTCGAGCGATACTACGATCAAGCTTTGGGATCCTAACGAGAATTATGCGAACATTCGAACCCTCGTCGGTCACGATCACTCCGTTTCGGCTGTGCGTTTCCTCACACCCACAGGGAATCGTCTTGTCTCGGCTAGCCGAGACGGAACTATTCGAATATGGGATGTGTCGTCAGGATATTGTGTGAAAGTGATTGACTCAGAGGGCGCCTGGATTCAAGACGTGTGGCCTTCGTTCGACGGTAAATGGCTAGTCTCAGGTGGCCGCGACAAAGCAGCAACAATCTGGGAGGTCGCATCAGCCGAGTCAAAGGTGTCGTTGTTTGGGCACGAACATTATCTCGAGTGTTGCGTGTTTGCTCCTCCCGCGAGTTATAAAAATCTAGCTACTCTTGCTGGATTGAAGAAGCCGCCTTCCGCACATAGCTCATCCGAGTTTATCGCGACGGGAGCTAGAGACAAGACAATCAAGCTATGGGATGCCCGGGGAAGGTTGATCAAGACCCTTGTTGGCCATGACAACTGGGTAAGAGGACTGGTGTTCCATCCCGGGGGGAAGTATCTGATCAGTGTCGCCGATGATAAGACAATACGTTGCTGGGACCTCTCCCAAGAGGGGAGATTAGTGAAGACAATCGACAATGCCCACGCACATTTTGTCAGTTGTATTCAGTGGGGGCCGAGCAGCATAGGTGACCACTCAACAGTGGAATCGGATACGGCCGACGGAAGAGTCAGCAAGGATGTCAACGGGCCTGGGTTTCAATGCGTCATTGCAACTGGGAGCGCCGATTCATGCGTACGTGTCTTTACTTAAGGCGCCAACGGTCAGTAATATGACAAAGATCCTATCTCAAGACACTGGCGGTACGAATTGAACGGGAAATTTACCTTTTGTACCCGTTCGTAGAACTTTTAACTCAACACGTTGACTTATCTTCCAACGCCGAAGCAATATGCTTCTGGATGCTATGCCTAATGGCCTACTCATCCCAAAGCCGCAAGTATGCGATTATAACTCTTTATGAAGGAAGGACATTTATTCGCTCCATTTGTATTGCCAAATTGGGATATACAATGGGAGACATGTCTAGTCCATTATTGACGCTATCGGGTAATGTCGAAGAATCAAACTATTAACGTACCGGTCTTGTTAACCCCAACCATGGTCCAGGAACGTTACCTAAATTCGCTGTATCGATTCAGCGATCTCGCCGGACTTTCGCATAGCTTCATACCAGTCTGGTAGAGGCCCCGGAAGCAGCAGGTGTCCCGATTGATCCTACTGATGTTCGGAACATGATTATGCTGGAGCCTAGATTGGCTCAGAGTTTCTTTTGAAACTGTAACACCATCTCCGAGAATGAGTTATTCGTCGACGCGGACAAGAATATCCGTCAAGACATGTACTAGTGCTGTAGTAACCAACTCACTCAAGTCATCTTATGGAGCGGTTAACCCCCTGCTAATTCTGTAGTATAGCCTCTTAAAGAAAAGATTTATGACTCTAAGATAGAGAGGTAGGACTAACTCTAGCATGGACTGTTTCTAGACTAAGTATATATAAAGTATTAATCTATGGATAACTTGCCCTTATACACTCTTTATCTATTCCTCTTCTAGTGAATGATGAGTTGGAGAGGGCATATTATAGACTATAGTATAGACTACTACTCCTTCTCCAAACAGGATTCTAGTTAAGTAGGGTTAATAAGAGACATAGTATACTGCCTAGATTAGATTTATGCACTTTGTTGCCATTCAGAGACCATAGGTAGCAGCAGTACACCCTCTCCAGCACGCAAATCCCTCTAGAAACAAAGCGCTTACACCGCTAATCACTTATGAAACTAGTTAATTAATAAAGCCCAGAGAGACATATAATATCTGACTCCACTTTATACCACTTACTCTTCTCGGCCTATATACAGAGGAATTGCTGGCCAGTTTAACTTCACATCTGCCGAACAGCGAGCCTAGCGTCGTGCCTCAATTACTTGCCACCGTACCAGCGTCAGTAGTCGATAATAAACCCACATGATTCAGACCCGTTGACTACCTATTGAGGGAATGTGCCAGTCCAGCTGTCACATCCTACTACTATAGACTTACCAGAAACGACATAATACTGAAATAAACGTATTGTTAAGTATAGACACCAATCAAATATGTGCAAGGCAACCAAGCATAAACATCTGCCACTCAACAAGCCCCCGCAGCCTTATCCGCCGGATACCCGCAGTACACCCCCCCYCCCCCCYGGATACAAACCAGCCCGGCGGAACACGGCTGCAGCACCCACGCGCCGTTGTCACACAGCGCGAAGCTCGCCCCGTTGCACCCAGACGCGCCCGCCGAACACGACCCACCGGCCGTGGGACAGCTACCGGTCGGCGTTGCCGTCGTCGACGTCGTGGTCTTGGTCGAGGTCACACTCGTCAAGGTCGTCGGGACACTCGTCGTGCTGGACGTAGTAGTAGTAGGAGGAGCGGTGGAAGTAGAAGAAGTAGTCGTAGAACTCACAGTTGTCGTCGACGCGGCCGAGCCTAGCGCGCTCCGAATCCCAGCCAAAAACCCACTATTGGCCATCACCTGGCTCGCGTCCCAGGCCATGACGCCGCCAAAGGACGAGAAGCCCTTGACGTACGAGATGATCCCCGCCAGCGTGTCGACAGAAACGTATCCGCTGCCTGCGGCGGTAGAGCTACCCGGCACACCGAGGAAGATCTTGACGTTCTTATTGAGCGAGACGGTCTTGGCCCAGGTGTCCCAGGTGGCGAAGTTGAAGTTATTCTGGGATGAGGAGCCGGGGACGTAGGCCTGCAGGCCGCAGTAGTTGTTGTAGAACTGGATCCAGATGGCGTCGAAGGAGACGGCGCCGTTGAGCATGGGCCCGTCGGCGGCGTCGGGGTAGGGGCACTGCGGGGCGGCGGTGAGGTAGTACTGCTTTGAGGAGTCGGACTGGAACAGCGAGCGGAGCTGGTTGGCGAAGGTGGGCATGTTGGAGACGGTGGACTCAAAGTCAAAGTCGAAGCCGTCGATGACGGCTTGGCCGAAGGGGCGGAGGGCGGAGGCGCTGGTGGGAGGGCCGAAGGTCTGCCAGAGGGTGTTGGCTCCTGCGATGGCGGCGGACTCGCTGGTGAAACCGCCTTCTGTGTAGGTTGCGCCGCCAATGGAGAGGAGGATTGTTTTGCCGAGGGATTGGCAGATGGGGATATCTTCCCTGTTGGTTGTTAGTTGTTGCTTGCACTTGTTGGAGGATGATGGGGGAATACTCTATCTGAGGACAGCTGAGCAGGTTCGTGCCGGCAAAGGTGGTGCAGTTGTCGCCTGCGTTGGCAAAGTTGACTTCGGGGACACCGCCCGTGCCGCTGATTCTGGTGACAAAGGCGAGTTGGTAGACCTGTGACTGTTAGGGTGGGTGTAGGGCTGGGTTGATACAGGAGTCAAACATCAATATCGGCGTCTACGCGGTTAGTGAGTGGTATGCCATAGGTTGTGGTGACTTACTCTGGCAATAGTAGGACAGCCGTTGCTGTGCTGCGAGACCGGTGGATGCTCCATGGGAATTTTGGCCTATTCTATCAGACACGCAGGGCAGAGTGATAAGGACAGAGCATACCCCAGTAGATGGCAATGTTGGACTGGCTGTTCAGGTTCAACTTGGCAGAGGCAGTGTGGAATGTAGCCAAAAGGCTTGTCCAGACACCGAGTTTGTACAGAGCCATGATGATGATGTTTACAGAATGCCTGATCGAGTACAAACAGGAGGATGATCGGATGATGTCAAGGCAGATCCAGAGTGCTCTGGGCTCCGATTCTTATATCTTGACCATTGCCTCTACGTCTGCATGCATCCTACGGTATGAAACCATAGTGAGAGTGAGGAATGTGACTGTGCCATATTGGCGGCCTCAAGGTGTCAGCCATCCGCAGGAATGCCCGCCCCATTCCTGAGAGGAGGCTAGTATAATGCTTGATTTGCAGATATTGATGTCGCATGATATGAGATAGAGGATTAGATAGCATCAGTTGCAACAGTAGGAGTGTGGAGTATGATATTGTCAGGGGTTGTGACTGATGAAGGTACCTGCAGAAAGATAAGCATGAAAAGATGACGAGACGGGTGTTTCATGCAGCAATATAAAGCTATATTGTTCCCCTCCTTATCTATCCAGTAGTGCTGCTACTGTAGCAGTCATAAACTACTAGCAGCAGACTAGCAACTGACTAGTAATAGATTAGATGCTCTTCATCGGAGCAATGGAAGTTTACAGCGGTTATCATCCGAGACTAATAATGCCGGCAGGTGTGCTTTGTGCCTGACCATCTGCATCGATCATGCGCCACATACTATGCACCGCTCTAACACACACCAGTCAGAATATCCAACGATCAAAGCCATCTCGCTTACTTTCGTTTGGCTTCAATCGGAAATTGCATGCGATGAGACGACTTCGAGCCATGTGCATAGCTGACCGGGGCAGGATACCCCCTTGCAGGTAACATTCCGCGGGCCATGTGTAACAATTGAAGTCGGCTGTAGTCTGTAGTCTGTACATAGCTGCATGCAGGCATTGACATTGTAGTATTCTGAAAAGCCTAATAGAGTATATCAACCACTCGTAGACACAGTTACTTCAATCTGGCCTCGACGACCCCGACAGGCACCCCAGGCGCCCTCCACGTCTTGACCAGTTTCAACCCCGCCTGGTCCAACAGGTTCGCAAAATTCTTCTCCGTCCGCTCGACACCCGCAAAGGTCATCATCGTATGGTCCATGTAAGCATTGGACATGGTCGCTCCGACCTCGGGCATGATGAACTCGACGATCAGGACGCGCGAGTGCTCCCCCATCGCCGCCGCCAGATTCACCAGGATCTGTCGGACCTCGTCATCGGGCCAGTCGTGGAACACTCGGCGGACGTAGTAAACCAAGGCACCTAATCTGTCAGTTCCCCAGGTATATACAAGACAGGGATTAGAGTGACGTACCCTTGACAGGCTGCGCCTGGAAAAAGTCATGCGCCATGGGCTCAATCCCATGCGTTTCCAGCTCGCGCCCATTCTGCTCAATCACAATAGGCCGATCCTGCAGGATAAACCGGCCCTTGAGGCCCGGCTCAGTCTCGCGAATCTGTCGCAGGATATGGCCGCGTCCACCGCCGACATCCACAATTGTCACGCCGTCGTCGCGCGCCAGAGCCCCCAGCTCCTGCGTGAACGGGTACAGACCGTGCACGACAAGCGCCGAGTCCTGCGCCATCATGGCGTCGTTGAGCCGGCTCAGCCGCTCGGGGAACTGGGAGATGTAGTCGAACATGGTCTGCCCGGTGCAGTTGTGCACGTGCGTGTAAGGGTTGTCGGTCAGCGTCATGGTGTTCTTCCAGTTGTGCTTGGCGAGGAATTCGTGGTTGCGGAGCATGGGCGGGCAGTACTCGTCAACCCTGTCCATCACTCAGTATTTACTCTGAGCGGAATAAATAATAAGAGGGCTTGAAGACGTACAACACCTTGAAGATGGCGTTCATCTGCGGCGCCATGTAGATCTCGGAGAAGGGGGTGTGGGCGTACTCCTCCTCGCCGGTTTCGCGGAAGGGGCCGAGGGGCGTGAGGGCGCGCATCAGTCGGACTATCTCGTCAGCTTGCTTCTTTCAGTGGCTGAAGGGGAAGTACCAATCATCTCCTTGTCGACTCCGGTTTTTGCAGCAATCTCTTTGGCGGAGATGCTTTCGCCCGTGGGGATGGCATGGAAGACGCCGGCTTCGAGGAGGGTGCGGATGGCGCCCATGCTGGCCATCTATTTCTGTCAGTCGTCAACATGAAATGGACCAAAGTACGCACATTCTCAAAATTGGTGAAGAGCATATCGACCGGACCGCGAATGGTCTGCAGCAGGCGCGAGGCCTTGACCATCAAGTCGTAGCGGGCAATGTAATCATTGTCGGAGGTCTTGTATGCATTGGTGGCATTGACAACCTCGTCCAGATCCTTCTGGATGGCGTCGATGTTGTTCTCCATGCTGCCCATTTTTGAGATCAATCCCTGTCTGCTTGGTCTGCAGGAACATTTGTTACATATCACCTCAGACCCCCGGTGCAGCGGTACTTCTTATAATATTGACGAGTATAAGCGGGGAATGGCTTCGGATCTCCCTCCGCCAATCATCACAGATGCGGCCGTCGCTAATGTGAGGCATCACAATTGCCTCCTCTTTCTCCCCATTGTTCTGTCTGTGCCCGGCGCTGCGATGGGCTTCATTGGCCGGGGATGGCGCGGCGCACTTAGCTGCAGCATTAGGTGAGTTTATTCTCCGCTGGGACACTTGCTTGGGACTCCTCCCCGAGAGTTTCTTTAAACATGCTCATGTTCTGATAGGAGGATACTCAATGATCGGCTGGTCCAAGCGAGATTTCGCCTGTCATATATTGCTTTGCAGTTATTGCTTATGGCCGGAACAGTATGTGAGCGGTCATATAGACTAACATTCCTGTTTAAGTAAAGAGCCGTCGATGATGAGTCTGCAGAGGAAAGTAATTACCGGCTGACTGACAGACAGCGACCGAATGACAATATGGCAGTATTACGGAGTATGTTTCAAAAGCAATGCTATTGTGAAACAGCCACAAGGACTAGTCGTAGTACTTATGTACAAGATGTCCGACGTTGAATGCCTAATCCGCTGTTGATCTCCATTGCTTTGACAGACACTAGGCAAAGGAGAATCGATATTATTGTTTCCCCGCTGAGGCAAATTTACAGGTCATTGCAGCTTAGCTGTTCCGTACTGGGTTTCTATCTGCATATTATCCCACCCGCCGGACCGGATCCGCCGTGCATATCTCTCTTCTACAAAGTAGATACGTAGATAATGCAGGCAAGATCGGAGAAGCAAGCATTGACTCGCGGATTGCATCCGAATGATCAATGCTTCATCTCGAGCTATTTACCTCGCTGGGATAGGTCTTGGTTATGGTACGTCTGCAAGGGCCGTGGATAGTGCTGCTGCACTGATAGTGATCGCCAACACCAGATACCTCATATGCTACAGTCAGACCGGAAATAGAATTGTCACGCGCTTGATGAAGCAAAAACAAGGTGTCACAGGATACGAGATGGCGTTTTTTGACAGCTCTCTCTATATACGTTACAGGTAGGACCAGTCTGTAGGAACTAGCTAGGTGCATGGGAGATATTAACAGTGGTCGATGCGTCTGACATGTCGTTGGATGGCGTGACATAGCTCCATAGTGCTAGTCAATAATTAAAGCAGAGATAGCTAATTGAGATATATCACCTTCCGGTTGATCGTACTTTTTGAGCACAACAGGAGACAAGGAGCTCAACTCAAGCATATAAACCGGAAAAGCCTCCCGAGTCAAGCTCCTCAATCAAACCTACACAACTTCAGCTTTATCCATTCCAGTATCGTCAATTCGTTGACTGCAACCGCCATGGATCCAAGCAAGACGCCCGCCTTCCCTCCCCCACCGGGCGTGACGCCCAACTTCGAGAACCCCCAGCGGTCCGACTATGACATCTACTCGGTCAGCATTGCGATGTGTCTGACAGGCACATTTGTGCTGGCGCTGCGGATGTACACGCGGGGCGTGATCCTGCGGACGGTGGCTATAGATGACTGTATGTTCATGCCTGCCTTCGACCATGGTAACACGATGCTGACCGAGTAGGGTTCTGTATTGCGGCGCAGGTCTGCGCATGGATCTTTGCCATCCTCGGCTTTGCGAGTACGTTTTCCCCCCTTCATAACACGATCAAAACTAACGAAATAGACATCGAAAACGGTTACGGCTCGCACATCTGGGACCTGCACCTCGTCAAACTCAAGCCTTTCAAACAGGTACCTTGCCCGGTTGCTCCAAACCCTACAGAGCCCAGCCCAACTGACGATAATAGAACGACCTCGCCGCAGAAGACATGTTCGCCCTCGGCATCTGGTTCGTCAAAACCTCCATCCTCCTCTTCTACCTCCGCCTGAACCCCGAGCGCCGCTTCCGCCAATGGACCTACGGCATCATCGCCTTTGTCTTCATCTACTCGCTCATCAGCATCCTCGTCTTCACCTGCGGCTGCATCCCCGTTACGGCCATGTGGGACGTGACGCAAATGGCAACAGCCAAGTGCGTCGACCAGCTGGCGTTCGTGTACGCCAACGCGGCGTTCAATCTGCTCTCTGACCTGATGACGCTCATCCTGCCGATCAAGCTGTGCTGGGCGCTGCAGACGACAACGAAGCAAAAGGTTCTGCTGTGTTTGGTGCTGGCGATGGGTTCTTTCGCGTGCGTGATTGCCATTGTGCGGATTGTCACCATGATGCCATTCGTTCATTCGATGGATTTCACCTGGTACAAGGTCACGCTGGCCAAGTGGGCGTACGTTTTCCCCTTTTTATCCCTTTTGTTGGGTCAGGATGCTGATGATGATAACAGAATGGTCGAGATCAACGTGGGCATCATCTGCGCCTGTCTGCCTGTTCTGCGGCCGCTGCTGCTGCGGATCGTCCCTCGGTTGGTGGGAACCAAGATTTCCAGCACGGATAAGCACACCGACGAGAGCTACAACATGCAGGACACGGGATCCAGGAAGAAGAAGAAGGGCGTCCGGAACTGGGATTACCTGACGACGGTGGGGACGCAAAATCCGCGCGAGGACGACGTGGAGAGTATCAATGTGCGGCCGAATGGGAAGAGCGACAGCCAGGAGGGGATCATCATGTCGACTGAGATGAAGATTACGTATCATTGATGTCTCGGATTTTCGGGGCTACGGGATAGTTTCTGCAAAATTTGTACTCTTGTACTCTAGTGTCAGTCTTTAATTGCTGTAGTGCGGGACTAGTTCATTGCGTCAATCATATACAGTTTCCATGTTCCTAATGCTGCTTAGTATTTATGTGTCAATACAATGTCTAGCCACTAATGATCGACCAAGAGGCCAGATAAAGTACGTACAAGGCTCCCATTAACGGTAGCCTTGTGGCTCTGGAAATGGATTCTTTGGTCTAAAAGTGGCTGAGTGTATAGATATGCGTATCCGAAAGCGTATTCTGCTACATTGCAAGTCTAAACCGAGCAGTGCTAGCTAGCCTTTGAAATTTGAATGATTTCGATGTATCTGGATATCTAGTACTTGCGAGACAGTTAAGAGAACTTATGTCCCCCAGAGTCAACTCGGACCTCGTGGAACCTTCTCTCCTTGTAAGCTATCGCCACGATCAAGTTGTTGACAAACATATAGCAAAACACAAGGGTGATAAAGGCCGCGGCCGCCAGAGGACCCAGGACGGCAAACACAGCGAACCCGTACGAAGCCGAGTTGAATGCATCATTGCCAGCAAGAGCCTTTGTCGCCAGCCCGACTTGCATGGCGCTAAGGACGATAGCGATGTACACTGTCGCCGACGCCAGCCATTGGAAGTTTTCCTGGAAGAAGGTGCCATACTGGTGCCAGTGGGACATGTAGCCGCGCAGGAACGGCCGTTGGGAGAGACGATACATCTTATTGAGACGGCTCAGACGCAGCTCTCCGTAGATGAAACGCGGGTTGATTCTTTGGTAGATGGACTCTGTACGGAGTTGTTCAACGAGTGTCCTCCACCCCTGCCATGAGAGCTCCTCGTCGGGTGGGAGCAGTTGCTTTCCCTTTGCGATATAAAAGTCACTCTCGTGGGTGATTAGCGCGGCGTATGAGAAGAGAAAGCCGAGCGCAGATCTCCACAGCTTCTGACGCGCGAACTGCTGGGTGCTTCTGGGGGAATATGTATATTCCCTGCTGCGCAAGCACTCGCAATCCTTGCTGTAACTAAGATAGTCGGTCCAAAAGCGTGGCTCAAGCAGGAAGCGTGGGATTGGTTTGAGAAAGATCCGGTCCCGTGTCCAGACGAGATGCATGTCCATTCGTTCTGTGATGAAGATCTCCCGGCCAAGAAGGAGCTGGTGGTGGAGCGGACGAGGTGGCATGGGCCGACCCGCGAGCCAGAGCCAGTCAACCACCTTGTCCAATCTTTGCAGATCGAGCTCGTTTTCGATGCAGCCCATAACATCATTGCTCGGGGACACTAGATGATCGGCTTCGGTGCGATAAGACGCGGGGAACGCTGACAGGAGCTGCTTAGTTCCGGGGTGAGACGCGTCGCCCTTGTCGTCGTCGGCCCTCAGAAGTCGGACCGAGAACGGAGGAGAGTCAGGAGACTGCATCAAGGAAGAAAAAGACGTTAGCTCGGCTGGCCTGACTGTAGGTACAGTTCAGGTACCTGTTCGTGTTGCTGTTCCATTTTGTCTTGCTTTCGACGCGTGTTATATTCCTGCCATTATTGAGCATTTCAGCTGTATGAATTTTAGCATCACCCGATATTTTAAGGTCTGAAGTGTCCTGCAAGGTCGGCTTGATACATTATTACTCCTCCCGACCAGGCGTGCTCAAACACCATGCTTTTTTTTCCGCAAGTGAACTTATTGGCTGACACTACGCCACGATATGCATGTGGCCGGCTGAATCACATCACAATCCCCTCTCTGATGGAGTGAACTTACTCCAAGAAACCGTCTGAATATCCACTCCCTCTGTTGAAGTGTAATGTCTTATATCTCCGTGGTGTTCTACTGGAAAGCCTCGATAGACTTTGCATAAGCCCGATCATCGCCGCCGCACGACTTTCTGGAGTGCAGGTAGACTGCAGCCGCACACCAAAAGCCGCGGCTGTCGGACTCGCTGTCTCTAACCTAGCTAGATATCACACAATAGTAATGGATCCGCTCAATAGTGGCCAGCTTTTCCTCCTTGCTGGAATTGTCATGATTGCCTATTTATGGCTTCTCGGTTGTTCTCCACGGGACCGACTGCTCAAGATAAATCGTGCCTTACGACGGGAATATCCGAAGAGAAGGGACGAACAGCTAGAAGGAAAACAGGTGGGTGAGGAGCTTTTGCCAATCAGTTAGAGCGGATTATTGATGCGAATAGCTATAGCCATCAACCACTCGGCAACCTCTAGAAGTTTTGTACCCTGACCCCAGCGATAAGATCAACGGTGAGGTCGAGGTTGAGTAGGTCTTTCTCTCTCCCTCTGTCACCAAAATCCTTTGAAATTCTGCATCTGATGAAAAGGCTGTAGCATCATTGCTGTACATGGTCTCGGGTCTAATGTGGACTGGTCGTGGACTTGGAAGAGCAAAGCCCGAGATATCCACTGGTTAAGGGACACGGACATGCTTCCGAACGTTGTGCCAAAGTCAAGAATCATGGTATACAACTACGACTCGAAATGGCATTCGAACGCTCCACAGACCCGTCTACAGATCTGCGGCGAAGATTTAATACGAAGTATGCACAATTTTCGTAATAATAATGACATGACAAACCGCCCAATTCTTTTGATCGGTCACAGCCTGGGCGGGAATGTTATCCAACATGTGAGTCCTGGTCTGGCTCTCTGGGGCTTGATTGATGCTCATTTGTCGAGATAGGCTCTGTTATACGCCGACTCGGAGGCAGAATTCTCATACCTGCCGAAACTGACCATCGGCCTTGTCTTCTTGGGCTCCCCTTTCAGGGGATCTGCCATGCAACCCGTGGCCTCCTTCGCAGCACGGGTCCTGTCTCTCGCTCAATCGCATGCAGGAATCATCAACGACCTTGAATACGACAGTCCGACCATGACAGACAAGTTGCACAGCTTTTGCCGTCTCCGGGAGAGGATGTTGATACCGACGTCCTGTTTCTTCGAGCTCTACGCGACAGACTATGGGAGGAAGATCCGGATGCCTGGGTTAATCAAGGGAATGGCACGTATTTCAGAGGAGTGGGTGAACAAAGTCTAACTGAATCCTGACGACAGGTTGTCCACGAGGCTTCCGCTTGCATTCCCGGCCGCAATAGGTTCGCTCTGCAAACCGACCACCTGAAGTTGAACAAATTCTCCGGCCCCAAGGACCGATCCTTCATAAGCGTCTCGGAGGAGATTGGCAAAATGGTCGTTACTTCGAAAGACTTGATGGAACGTCGGAAGAATCGTAAGCCAAGTGTCAAGCACACTGTGTGGTAAAGCTTGAAATCATTCTAACGCTCCGGTTAGTTGCCGGAGAATCTCACTTCTGTGTACCATTTGGACGAAACAGAGATTTTGTCGGACGTGAATCAATTCTAGCACAGCTTCTCACGACCATTCCTCCTACCGCAGAAGTGGATGATTGCCAAAGGACAGCCATCGTAGGACTCGGAGGAGTCGGAAAGACTCAGATTGCGCTCGAGGCTGCCTTTCGAGTCCGTGACGCACACCCCGGTTGCTCTATCTTCTGGGTTCCAGCTGTGAATGCTGCAAGCTTTGAGAATGCCTATCGAGAAATAGGACGCCAACTCGGCGTTGGAGGAATCGATGAAGACACGGCGGACGTCAAAACAATTGTTAGAGAAGCTCTGAGCCGGGAGAGCAGTGGTCACTGGCTCTTGATCGTCGACAATGCGGATGATCCAGATTTACTCTTCAGTGATATGGCCCTCTCCGATTGCCTCCCGTTCAGCCGGAAAGGCTCTGTCCTGTTTACCACCCGAAGCCATGAAGCCGCTGTGAAACTCGATATTCCCGAAAGGAATATTGTTACCGCGGCGGAAATGAACGTCGCCGAAGCGACGGATCTATTACTGAAAGGCTTGAGCAGCCAGAGATGCAACCTCGAAGATGCGAAAAGCTTGCTTGTCTTCTTAGCCAATCTTCCCCTTGCAATCAAACAGGCATCCGCATACATAGCCAAGACGGGGATGCCCATTGTTAAATACCTCCAACACTGCAAGTCAAGCGATAAAACCCTGATCAAGCTGCTTAGCAAGGACTTTGAAGATCGGGGACGTTACAAGGGCATTCGGAATCCAGTAGCCACGACTTGGCTGATCTCATTCCAGCATATTTCACGGGACAACCCAGTTGCGGCGCGGTATCTGAAGTTTATATGTTTCCTTGCCGGAAAGGAGATTCCAGTCTCTCTCCTGCCACCCGCAAGCGACCAGCTAGAGGCGGACGAAGCGATCGGCATTCTGAAAGCATACGCGTTCATCACCAATCGTGACAGTCACGATTCGTTTGACATGCACAGACTCGTTCGACTGGCGACGCGGAACTGGTTGGACGAAGAAGGAGAACACGAGGAATGTGTCACGGAGGTGATACAGCGCTTGGTGCAAGCAGTTCCTTATCCAGAAAGTGACAATAAAAATACATGGATCAAATACCTGCCGCATCTAGAGGCTGCGCTTGGGTCTCGAGAAGGCTCTGCAGATAAAGCAGCATCATTTCTACTTCAGATCGCAGGACAGTGCTATTATGTTCTCGGGCAGTATCAGAAAGATGAGCAGAAAACGCGGCAAGCACTGGAGCTGCGGGAGAAGCTGTTTGGCAGAGAGCATCCACGAACGCTCGACACCATGGAGAATATTGCGATAGTCCTGAGCGAACAAGGAAAGTACGAGGAAGCTGAGCAGATGCACCGGCAGGCTTTGGAGCTAAAGCGGAAGGCCCTGGGCGAAGAGAGTCCGTCTACGCTAAAATGCAAGAGTAACTTTGCCGCACTCTTGGGCTACCTAGGGAAATATGATGAAGCTGAGCAGATGCACCGGCAGGCGTTGGATCAAAGCCTGAAAGTGTTAGATAAAGATGACCCCTACCTTGCTTATAGTATGAACAATCTTGCAGTAGTGCTGAGCAACGGGGGAAAACACGAGGAAGCTGAGGGCCTCTGTCGGCAAGCGCTGGAGCTATTGAGGACCAGGATTGGTGAAGAGGATCTACACATGCTCAACTGTATGGCGACCCTCGGACAGGTGCTGGGCGCGCAAGGGAAGTACGAGGAAGCTGAGGGCATTATTCAGCAGACGATGCAAGTGCGGGAAAGGGTGCTTGGCGAAGGCCATCCGGACACACTCGCAAGCATGAGTGAGCTTGCAGTAGTGCTGGGCAACCGGGGAAAACACGAGGAAGCTGAGAGCCTCTGTCGGCAGGCGCTGGAATTGATGAAGAATGTCATTGGCGAAGAGCATCCAGAGACGCTCAGAAGTATGGATTACCTTGGTGCAGTGCTTAGAAATCAAGGGAAGTATGAGGAGGCCGAGGGCATGCTTCGGCGGACAGTGGAGTTGCGGGAAAAGGTGCTCGGCAAAGAGCATCCAAACACACTCATCAGCCTGACGAACCTTGCAGCCTTACTCAAGAGCCAGGGGAAGCGAGAAAATGCGGTGGCTGTTATGGAAAAGTGCTACCCCTTATGGGTTCAGAAGCTGGGGCCAGACCATCATATGACACAGTCTTCTCTTAGAACACTGAATGATTGGAAACTTGAGGGTTAATAATAATGACTTGGTTCAGCTGAATGCTATCTGTTCTGATCCACTAGTTATAATCCTAGTTCCTAAATTTTGACCTTCAAGAAAGACTATAGGCTCGTTTCTCCTCCAGGAACCACTGCAGGTTGCCTATGATGCTGCCGCCACCGCATACGTCTTCGAGGGTCGACTCTGTGGCGTCCAAGGCAAGGGTTATTCAAGGATAGGGAGAGGCTTTTGCATGGATAAGCATAATAGTAAGTTCAAGATTACGTGTTAAAGTCACTGGAGGTCCTAGGGAATCAGGCTGTGGGTAAGCTCAACCAACGTCACTCTCGAAGAAGCCTTTCTCAAGACCGAATAGCTATTTTATTTCCATTACTGTGAGACGCTTATACTCTTGCTGAAGCTGGAGGAGTTAGGGTGCTATTGCATCAAAATTGGATATAATCTGGCTAAGCCTCAACCCTCTCGACATGCGCACTTGCACTCCCACCCTTAACCGCAACAGCCTTGTCAGCATGGACATCCAACCCCATCTGCCTCATGGCATTAACCCCAGAAAGCGCATCCGGCCCATCAAAAATCTCCGCCACCTCCTCCAACCCCTTCCCCTTGGTCTCCGGGAAGAAGAAAAAGATCAGCACAAAGTGCACGCAGATCACACAGCACCAGACGATATAATACCGCCAGGTAATGGCATCCATCGCCACGGGGTTCGCAAACGAGTTGTAGATCCCCGCCAGATTGCCCGTGAGCTGGTACATCATGCTCGCCTTCGCGCGCAGCGAGTACGGCACCACCTCCATGATGTACGTCGGCGCGACGGGCGAACACATATGGTACGCGGCGCTGAACAGGAAAATCATGACCAGCACGCCAGCCGCATACCCCTTATCCTTGAAGCCGTGTTCCTGGTTCAGGGCCGAGCACACCGTCCAGATCACGTAGGAGACGCCCATCCCGCCCATGCCGCAGAGGAACAGCCGGCGGCGACCTGCGCGATCGACCAGCGTCGCGAAGCAGGCGGCCGTCAGGAACGACCAGACGGATAGGCAGGCGTTGATGATGAGCTGGGTGCGCGGGTTCGTGACGTGGATGGTGTTGAGGACTTTGGAGAGGTAGTATGAGGTGAGGCCGTTGCCGGCCCACTGCAGCATGGCGGGGATGTACAAGGCTAAAAACAGGCGGTGCTTGTTTCCTCGCGTGGCGACCCACTCCGTCCAGCGGGAGAGGCGCTGCATCTTCTCCATTTCCAGTGTGGCGGTGATTTCGGCCATTTCGAAGCGGACGAGGCGCGAGGAGGCGTCGCCGTCGGCGTGGTACTTGGTTAGCATGGCGAGGGCTTCCTCGCGGCGGCCGTTGTAGATGAGCCAGCGGGGGGATTCCGGGGCGAAGAGACTCAGAACGGCCTGGATGAGGGAGAAGAAGCATTGTAGGACGCTGGGGATGCGCCAGCTCCAGCTGGAGTCGGTCATTTTGAACGTGCCGTAGGTGATCCAGGCGGCGATGAGCGAGCCCAGTGACCAAGTAGTCAGGTAAAAGGAGACGAGCTTGCCTCGCTGGGAGGGGTAGGCGACTTCCGTCAGGAGAGGCGGGGCGGCCGTGGCGACGATGCCCAGCCCGAAGCCGACGAAGAAGCGCGAGACCACGAACATGCCGTAGTTGACCGCAGCGGCCTGGAGGATCGAGCCCAGGATGATGATGAGCGAGCCGCCGCAGATGGGGTACCGGCGGCCAAAGCGCTCGCAGAGCTGCGAGGAAATCAGGACAGAGATCAGTGTGCCTCCGGTTGGACCAAAGGACATGGCGCCGAGACGCGGGCCTGTTGGTTTGCCAAAGTATTTGTTCCATTGGGGGAGGGCCTGCATGCCATTGAGCATGCTGCTGTCGTATCCGGAGGCGATTTGCGTGAGCAGGGCACACAGCAGGAGGGTGTTGAGTTTGATGAGGGTCCAATCCTTGTAAAAGGGAGGACGCTTGGGAGTGACATCTTTGAGAGTGAGGCCTTCAAAGTTGTCCTCGCCTTGTCGATCTTGTTGAGTCATCTTGTCGGTACTGCCTGACTGATTGTTGTTGGACGGACTACTACAACTGCCAGACCTGCTTTATGTACCCACCTGACGCGGGGAAAATCTGGGGAACATCGGGCCATTTCTGGAGTCAATCGTCCGATGACCGTCGATCTGTTCTGGGGTTTCTGATGGCTTCGGGGCGGGCGAATGTGCTCGGGCATGATTCCTCCGAGGGATAATAATAGTGGCAGTGATAAGCAGCATAAGCATCATCAGAGAGGTTATCCATCATCCTACGGTTCTTACCTTGACAATTTTGCAAAATGACTGTAGACATAGCTCACCACCGAATCCAGTCCAATGGATCCCAGCCTCTAGAGAAAATCTTCTCGGAAAATGTGCTGGCCAAGATTTTCCGCGTGGCCGTCGAGGAATTAAACAATAATGTACCATCACCACACCACAAGATCATTTAAATACTAATACTGACACTGACTATAGGACCCTCCAACCGAGTATCCGGAATTCGTCCCTCAAAAAGGCCCCTCAACGGGCCGCTACATCCTCCGCGAATCCTCCTTCTGGACCTGCGGCTTCTTCCCGGGGCTGTTATATCTCCTCCTCGAACGAGCCATCCGATACCCCTCGACCTTTCCATACCTCGGGCACAACCAAAACCCCAAGAGCACAAACATCGCAGCGGTCCGAGATCACCTCCTCACCTTGTGCACCAAATGGACCGCCCCCATCTACCCCATGTCCCTCCGAACAGACACTCACGACCTAGGCTTCATCCTGGCCCCCTCCCTCCGCCGCTCCTGGGAACTGACCTCCAACCCCTCCAGCCTCCAGGCCCTACTAACCGGCGCCCAAAGCCTCGCCTCGCGCTTCGTCCCCTCCACCGGCGCAATCCGCAGCTGGGACGCCCTCCGCCAGTCCGACGTGGAAATCACTTCCCTAGAGACTGACTGCCTCGTCATCATCGACAGCATGATGAACCTCGACCTCCTCTTCTACGCTGCTGCGCATCTCGGCCCGGAGCTTGCTGCCATTGCTACCACTCATGCGAAAACACTCATCAGTTCCCATCTCCGCCGGGAAAACATAGCAGGGAAAGTGAAAGAGGCCTACTCTACCATCCACGTCGTCAATTTCGACCCCGCGACGGGAGCAATCAAGGAGCGCCGTACTGCACAGGGGTACTCTGCTACCTCGACGTGGGCGCGCGGCCAGGCGTGGGCGATTACCGGGTATGCGCAGACGTACGCCTGGACGCGGGACCAGCAGTTCCTCGATGTGGCAGTCGGTTTGGCAGAGTACTTCCTGGCGAGGCTGGAGGGGGCGCCGGCTTGCGTGGAGAAGATGATCGATGGGAGGATGGTGGGCAGGTACGTGCCGCTGTGGGACTTTGATGCCCCCGTTGACGAGGCGAGTCCGTTACGGGATTCCTCTGCGGGCGTGCTTGCCGCAAATGGGATGTTGTTGCTCTCGCAGGCGTTGGTTGGGGACGACGAGGGGCTCGCGCGGCGGTTCAGGGACGCGGCGATGAGGATTGTGAGTGAGACGGTGGAGTTTTCGTATTCGAGGGAGGAGGCGATGTTGGTGGAGGGAGGAAAGCAAGTGGAGGATGTGTCTGGGCAGCGGTTTGATGCCATTCTGCGCAATGCGACGGCGAACCATAATGCGAAAGATCTGGATCGGTACAGTGATCATGGGCTTGTGTATGCGGATTACTATCTGCTGGAGTTTGGGAATCAGCTGTTGAAGCTGGGATTGATATAGACAGTACTCCTATAGAAGGTTGACCTTTCTCATATGAATGTTTGATTCTATACCTCGTATGACTACTGCAGCGTGATAGTGTCGTCCTCTAAATCGACCCGTGGAAAGTCCATCCATCTCTCCCGTAGACTCCGCTGACTCTGGTCCTGTGTCGTTGCAACTGCAAAGACAGCCGTCACCAGGACCACTTCCTCAGAGCCAACCTCGTGCCTCACCACAGGAATCAACGTCCGCTGCGCCATGAGATTCGTATTCGAGTCCGGCTTCAGCGCCTCATGCTCCGTCCTTGCCATGGAAGCTATCCCACGGACACCGCTCGCCCCAGCCGCAGACAGAACAAGCACACTATCCTCTGATACGTGAACCCCCTCCCCTACCCCAATATCCGTGTCCAGCCAATCCTCACCCTCGAGAGCAGGAAGAATCCGCTCCCGACCAGGCGTCTTCGCATTCGCCTTCGGCACCCGCTCAATCGCAAACCCCCCTTCAACCAAATACAACCTCTCCAGATTTTTATTACGATAAATCCGATGAACCCTAACATGCCAATCCGGCCACCGATCCGTCGGCGGAACCAGCGTAGTCCGCACCGTGACCTCCCCATCCACCCACGGCCGCCACTTGACCTCCGCCACTGGGATTTTCTCCTCCTGTCCCTGTACGACAGCAGTCCCAAACCGAACAGGCGACGCCTTCCACTTCACAGCCCAGGTCGCGCACCCATCCCGGCTCAATGCAAGGGTACTATCCGGCGCGAGCTGCTGTATTAATGGGCCTGTGGGCACGCTAAACGCAAACGCGGACGAGTACGCGAACTTGCAGTATTTCGCCTGCGAGGCTTTCATCGGCCAGGCGACGAATTGGCTTGGGTTGAGGAGGAAGTGGTGGCCTCCGGATGGGTGGTTGCAGAGGAGTTGCTGTGGTGCGGAGACGATCTTAACTGCTGGCTGTATGGATGGGTAGGGTGCTTCTGGGGTGGTCCAGAAGGGATGCGAGTCGGGGAGGAGAAGGACGATGAGAGATTTGAGGCTCCAGTAGACGGACTGGGGGGAGTTGTAGTCTTCGGCCATGTACATGTTGCTGCATTTGTTAGCTAACACTGAGGGGTTATGGGGGAGACGTACGGATACAAGTAGCCGATGTTCATCGTCCCGTCGGCGTAGAACATATCTGTTGAGTGAGTCGCCCACCAGCGTAAATGTCTCAGGAGGAAGCCTTTGACTGCGCCGAGAGAAGCCAACGGGTCTGGCATATCAGGGATATCGGCGACAGCCAGTGCAGCGAAGAACGCTCCGCACGCAAAGCGATAGGTCAGGGAGCGTCCAAAGGGGATTGCGCCTCCTACTCACGTCAGCTTCAGCTCTTCACAACTATACAGAAACAACGAGACGTACCATCACTGTCAAAATACCACCAAAAACTCCCCCCAAACTCCCTCGCCTGGACCCGGTACCTCTCCGCCCGCTCGGGGTCCAAATGGCTCGCAAACTTGACAAAAAGCAACTGACTAAACTGGATCGCAAAACTCCCAGAATAGTAATCCGCCTGGCGCCCACACCCTACGGCATCCCATCGCCCAGTGCGCATACTCTCCTCCCTTTCCCTTATCTCCTCCTCAGCAGACAACCACGGCCCATCGCCCGACCACCCACCCCCAAGATAAAACCCATCCAGCACCTCAAAATCAGCGTCCATTTTCCCCTTGACCTCACCATACGGAACACCCGCAACAAGCACAAGCGCCAGGTTCGCAAACACCCGAAACCACCGCCAATTGTTAACCGGCATGTCCTTCCCGTGCATGCCGCGCAGCCACGCAACGATGTTGCGCCGGGTGGTCGCATCCTGGCCGTGGAAGAAGGCGTCCGGCGCGAAGAGCAGCGCGCAGGCTAGGACCTCTGCCTCGACCATGCGCTGGTCGCCATTGGCAATGGTGCCCCAGTATTCTTCATGCTCTGGGTCTGTGCCGGCGCGGATGCCCTCGATCCATGGTTGGGAGGCGGTTTTTATGGCTTCGATGGTGGTAGGGTCGGAAGTGAAGGATAAGGAGTGTAGGAGGGTAGCGATGACCCAGAGCGGGCGGGCGAATCCCTCGAGCAGGGCGGCGCCATCGTCGAAGTGGGCGCCTGTTGAGATTGGGAGGCGGATGAAGGCGTGTGCGGGGGAGAAGTGGGCGTGGAGAGGGCGGACGAGGGCGAGGGCTGCGTGGAGGAGGTCGTTTCGGGTGAGGAGCGGGTTGTTGCTGAAATTGGGGAGGGGAGGCATATCGTTGTTTGTGTCTTTAGACTTAGTATGTTTAAGGATTACATTTTATATTTATTTAAGGATTACGTCTTTGCCAAAGAGGGGCGATATATCTATCGGGGCTCGGGGTAAATCTCGGACGATTTGCTTGTCATGTACTATAGGCTACATCTGATGCGAAATACGCATTGTTTAGACTGATAATCCGGTCCATCTCCGAATACTGCTGATCCAGCAGAATTGATGTGACTGTCGTCAATTCATCCGGGCTGCCTGTGTTGTAGCTCATTCTTGCCGGACTAGACTGCAGCATCGGCGGTAGATCTGGAGTAAAGGCGACCCGAGACAGTCCAGCTGTGCTTTCAGGTACTGCTTCTGGTACTGTTTGCTGGGTATCCCCCGTCCATTCAATCTCGTTGGAGTAGCCCAGAACATCCAGCTTAAAGTTCTCGTCGCTTTGGCACGCCCGGTGGATGGCGTTGAGCTGGCCGAAATACCTAGCCGCCGAGTTCTGACGACTCGCCTGTACGCGGCCGGACCAGCGCGTCGCCATGGCATCGAGGCATTTCATCAGTGTCCAGTAATCTGACGACAGGGGCGTGCCATAGTATCTCCAATGTACTATCCGTTCGTTAGCAGTAGCGGAATCTCCGAGGAAGGCAACCCACCAAGTAAAACCCTCGCACTGACAAACACGCAAAACGCAAACTGACTATCCACGACGCCCTCCCGCGGACAATTCCCCAGGTACTTCTCGGTGATATTCGCCGTCTCCGCCGCCGCCGCCTCGCACGTCTCCGCGCTGGACAGAGTCGGCAACTTCACCACCTCCAACCATTCTGGCGGCGGATACGCAATCCGCTGATGCAGCAGGATCATGGACGTGTTGTGCGTGATATGCGCCAGCGTCAGGTTCGGATCCATCGTCACGACCGTTGGCTGACGCGAGATATTCGTGTCCTTCCATTTCTGCGGCAGGAACATCTTCCAGCTGACCAGCCGCAGATCCAGCTCCTTGAACCGCATCAGCCAGCTTCCCATCTCCTGGCGGTCGCGGTGGTTGATCCGCTGCTGCAGGAAGAAGGTCGTTACTCGGCTTAGCGACTCGGTGGCTTCGACGCGGTAGGCGAAGGCGCCTACGGTTGACATGTCGACTTGTGCGGTGGGCGACGGCTTGTCTGTAGGTAGGAAGGCAATGAGGGTGCCGATCTTGCCGGCGGAGCGGTCCCAGATGCCGAAGAAGGGGGTTGTGACGGGTTCCTCGTTGTGCCAGAGGCCGCCGTCGGCGGGGAGGCGGCGGTGGACGTCGTTGGAGGTGAGGCTCGTGTTCCATCTGTATTTCTCAGCGGAGTTCTTTTGCAGTCAAGGAGACGTACCCTGTAGTCACCGAGCAGAATCTGTGATGTTAGTAATGATACGCCATGAAAAATATTGACATACCTGTCTAAGTTGAAAACAGTCCAGAAAACCCGCCGTCGTTCTTCCTCCTCCACCCAGTCTGCAGCCACCGGAAGGGATGGTCGAGGCTGCAAGACCCGTCCTGTATCGTGGTTCTCTGACTCGACACTCAGTTGGAGGTACTCGACCGTCCTCGTCAAGGACCCGACAATCGGCCATGCTCGAGAGACCCTCCCGGATCCAATCTACACCGTCAGTTTGTGCAAGTAGTATAGGGAATAAAGCATACATCCTCAAAGCAGATGATAATCAATGCCTGCAAATTCTCCACGTAAAGATCATCCATTGCTGTCAGCACGACGATCTTCCGGGACCGTTCACACACAGCTTCGATATCTTTCAGATCCGCCGGAAGCACAGATTGATCGACGTGCTTGAGCATCGCAACCACCATCGCATGCAGCACAACCTCCAGGCGAGACCTGTCCGGGCTCCTTAGCCGCCGCCGGAATCTCTTTTCGTGGAAGATCGGGATCCAGGGTTGTACAAGAGCGAAATATGCATCGACCACGGCCTCTAGGACGGCTGGCGGAGGTAGACTTGAGAAAAGATCGGAGAACTCATCAGGCTCAATTAGGGTACCATCGAACCGTCTCCGTTTGTTAGATGGTGAGCGCGGCACATCAGACACCAAGTCCTCGCATGGTCGTTTGCGGGTATGAGGTTGTTGCTGCTGCAGCTGTCCGAGCAGCAGCTCCATTCCCTCTCGCAGTGCAGTAGCCACCGCATTACTATCAGACACTGGTCTATGCTCTTCAGGTCGTTCCTGGTGGAACACGGCATCCTCCAGCGCCTCTACCCGCCGTCAGATGGAACCTACAGACCAAGAAATTACCTACCAACCCGTCTCCTCAACGCCTCCACCGCTCCAGCCTTAAGACCCGGTTTCTCTCGCTCCCCATCATACACGCACGTCGTCCCTATACCCCTTAGCACGTGAGCTTCCAATGAGGATAGGGATAGGGAACTACCAATCCTCCGACAATGCGCACAGAGCGGGACTTCGCGCGAGCAGCGGAGTTTCCGCTTGCGACATGCGCGACAGGCAGGGCGATCGTCTTGCACCGATGCCTCGGCTTCCATTCTGTTGCTGGTCTGGGTGTCAGTGAGCTTGCCCTACAGTCCGGACGAGGGGTAGGCTAAATACCCCGTTGTCCGGTGGAGATGGGCCGGCTTCCTTCCGAGTTCCCCGACTGAAGGCTAATTCGCTTGCGTTTGGCTCCTGTGGGGTGTCTGCGCGCGGGGTAATTAGCCTCGAATGGGAGAGTTTAATTTAATTCTTGAAAGCTTCTGCGCTATGAGACTGGTCCTCGCGGATTTAGCCATTGTGGGCACGCCTAGGAGAGGTACTCGCCCAAAGAAGAAGTGGAGTATGGGGACATTTGTGAAATTTTGACCTATCGGGTTGATATGTACCGACTCAATAACCAAGCAAAGTCCAATGACTCGGCTGATAATATCAAGCCTGGACCCGGAGTAGTCCAGTATATCCCCGAATCATGATATTGACATCACACTGTTTTCTTCGGCAGACGGAGTGGAAGTTTACCATCCAATTCTGCCGTGGTTAATTGACACCTGTGACATTCCATGTGTCTATCACTGTCCGCCGAGTCATGAGCTGCAGCGCAGTGCGTTCATCAGTGCAAACTAACAGAAGACACCGAAGTTGACAGATATGTGTTTGGGAGGTGAAGACCCGCAGCTATCTACCATACTCGCATGTCTATCAGGTCATAGCCGTTGGGGTCCCGGCGATAATTATTTAGCTCGTGGGATGTCGAAGCGACGCATACGTCCAGTTAGTGGCTGTGACCGTCCAATATAATCGTCGTTCAATCCATGACCTATATCTGAGGTCTCATACTGCTCCCTTGTGCTTGAAGGGAGACTGTTGACTTTCACAGTGCTCCTAGCAGTCAGCTTCTGCCATATATGACAGAAACCTGGGGTCCAATTGTTCAGTATTCCGAACCTCGAAAGGCACATAATCCAGTCGGCAGAAATCATACTAGCAAGAAGAATTCCATAATTCTCTTCCGCTGGATGTCTCTCCATGTTAGCGTTTCAGGGTAGGTGGTGAAGTAGGCTGATAGCAGCATAAAATTATGCCGCGTGATGTCAGCGTCATGGAATCGTCGGATACCGATCAGCCCACCATTGCCTGATCTCACCCTCCGTACCTATACTTATTCATATACGTACACACTCCCAAACAAACACAAACTCAATCCACTGAAATAAATGCTAAAGATGGCAACTCCACCCCCGGTAATAATCGTCGGCTCCGGCCTAGCCGGCCTCTCCGCCGCCAGCACCCTCATATCACACCACATCCCGGTCCAGATGCTCGACCGCGCCCCCAAACCAGGCGGCAACTCCATCAAAGCCTCGTCGGGGATCAATGGCGCCGGAACAAGGTTCCAAGACAACGACGACAAGGCGGATATCTTCTTCCAAGACACGCTCAAGTCCGCCGGTGACGCATTCAACCAGGCAAGTGGTGACGAGTGCACCCGGAGAGAGAAGCTTATTTCCACGCTTGCGGATCGCTCCGCGGAAGCGGTGCACTGGCTTGTTGATCAGAAGGGGGTTGACCTGAGTAGAGTTGCGCAGTTGGGGGGGCATAGCTTCCCGCGGACGCACCGGGGGGCGGGGCGGGATCCGCCCGGTTTTTCGATTGTGGGGGCGTTGCTGGGGCAGTTGAAGGGGGAGGAGCTGTTTAGCCTGCGGAGCGGGGCTAGAGTTACGCGGGTGGTAAAGGAGGGGGGGTGCGTTAAGGGGGTGGAGTATGTGACTGTCGAGGGTGAAGGTGGACAGAAGGGCAAGGGGCAGACGGAGAAGCACACGCTCAATGGACCAGTAATTTTTGCTACCGGCGGGTTTGCGGGTGATTCCAGGGGTATGCTAGCGCGGTATCGGCCTGATCTGGCTAATTTCCCGTCGACGAATGAGAAGAGGGAAGGCACGCAGCCGATTCTCGAGGCGGTGGGTGCGTCAGTCGTGGATATGGACTGCGTGCAGGTTCATCCGACTGGGTTCGTGGACCCCAAGGATCCGGCTGCACTGGTCAAGATCCTGGCGGCGGAGATGCTCCGCGGTGAGGGCGGAATTCTACTCAATGGCGATGGAAGCCGGTTCGTGAATGAGCTGGAGACCCGTCAACATGTCGTTGACGCGATTCTGCAGTCGACCTGTCGGATGGAGACGTCTACGCGCCAGTGGGATGTGACCCTTATACTTGATGAAAGTGCCGCAGCGGCCGCGGGCTCGCATATGGATTTTTACGTCGGGAAGGGGCTCATGCAGAAGATGACAGTCGGGGAGCTTGGATTGACCGCGGTGAAGACCCTCCAGGAGTATGGGGATGTTGTGTCCGGCCAGAAAAAGGATCCATTCGGTCGTAAATCCTTTGGCCATTGGAAATTGACTGAAGTAATGCCGGAGCACGTGGTTTATACCGGACAGGTGACGCCTGTCATTCATTTTACGATGGGAGGAGTGGTGATTGATGAGCATAGCAGGGTGATAGGGGCAAAAGGGACCCCGATAGAAGGGCTGTGGGCTGCAGGGGAAGTGACCGGCGGTGTCCATGGCCAGAACCGCCTGGGAGGGTCGTCCCTCCTGGAGTGCGTGGTGTTTGGACGTATAGCAGGGAATGAGGCGGCAGCATGGCACAAGGAACACTATCCCGGCAGTTCCTCCGTCGACTGACCATACAAGGCACCGAGCATGGTCTGGTTAGGCTAATGCAGGGTCAGCTGCTTCAGCAAACTCTCTGGCTGCATTCGTTATTTCCTGCTCCTGATCATTGGCATTTCAGGCCAAATCCTCGAACCATGGCTAGTGCAAAGGACAAGGCTGGCTTACACCTCTTATACACTCTCAGCTATCGAATTATATGGTAAACGATAGTAATAAAGGATTGTGGATATATTCTGCTGTTTTGTAACATATGTATGTACTCATATACTATCTTAAGTGACTAGCCTGAAGAACGTATCCATTGTAGTCTAAAGCTGCTATGAGTTGGGCCTGGAGCTAGGGGTAGGAGCCCATACTGGGCCCAGGCTACGATTCCAGCCTGTTTTGCTTATTAGACAGAAAAGTAAGGAATATCGTTAGAAATTCCCGGAGTATTAAGATAAAATTCAGTCTATCCAGGCTGAAATATCTAATCGAAACCCGTAATAAGGCTTAACTTGGTATGTCGGGGTTTGCCCTGGAAGTCCTGAGGGAATATAGATTTGCAACCAAGAAGTCCATCCTAGCCTCAGTTGCATATATGCTATCCCTGTTTAGTAGACCTGAGAGTGTCATGATATAATAATGTAGAAAGATAAGGCTACTGGGTCGCCTGATACAGTATGTGGGGAGGAATCCTAACATGTATTCTGTCTCATTCTTGAACTGCCACCATCAACCCCCTTCTTTAATTGAAGTTCTGAATGTGCCAGGTAGCGACCTCATGCTGGATAAGTGAAAAGAAGGTGTAATAGTAAAGAGTTATAGCTGACTTGGTGGTACTAGTGCAGAGTTCGCTACACTGCAATCTATCAAAGAGACCTTCTATTTTCATCCATTAGAAGAATCAGATGACCTCCGCTTAAGCGTTATCTAGACAGAAGCATTCGATTTTGTGATTTCTTCTCGTGAGCCTGGCGACCCTGTTGAGATAACCATCTGGTCTAGACGCTTCGAACACCTTCGAGCAGCTCAAGGGATGTCCCAAGGGTGCGGGAATTTTATGACAGGTACCGGGCTAATCGACAAAGTGCTGTCTGGAAACATGATACGGATCGAGATTCGAGCATTATGACTGAATGACTCAGGGAGACGGCCGGGTCGATGAGCCAGCAAAGCCTGCCAAATGCTTCACGGTAAGGCCGTCCGAAGAATTGAGACATTATTATGTTTCGACAACGCTCCGGCTTTCGGTGAGACCACTTCAGTCTCCTTATGTGAATCGTGGGATGTAATAGAAGTAGTAAGAGCCAAAGTTGCGAGCGCATGAAGGTGGTTGGGTTATTTGAATTGACCATTGTATGCCCCAGTCCCCACAGTACAACCAGCTGTTTCTTTTGGATGTTAACAGGAGTAGCATTCTCGTGTCTCGGAACATTCCGTGTAACTTCACTGGCCCATTCGCAAACAAGACATTGTTGGCTCCGCTCTGGAATGCATCCCTTGCGGATAGTACCGTTTCTGGGGCCCCAAGACTAAGGAGTATAAGAGCCAGTGGACTAAGCCCAGTCTTCATGTCTCACTCGATTTTCGTACTATTCCAGGTCATAGGCTACTATTTACTCCACCGCACCATGAAGCTGCCCGTCACTCTTCTCGCTTGCGCTAGCTTACTTCCTGGTGCCCTGTCCTTCACGAATGCATGCAAAGAGGGCCTGCTATACTGTGGCAAAACTCTGGAGCAGTATCATGGTACGTACAGACACAGACCTGCTGAATCGGAAGACTAGCTGTCTGATCCTCTTGCTAAATCTGCAATCGAAGGATACTCAACTCAGGAGCTCATGTCGGTTGTCATCATGGGCAACCTGGATGCCCTTGTTAAACCGGACGATGCGCTCTTCAAATGCAAAGATTCCAACGGTGGCCTGCAACTAAGTACTTTCTGCTATTTGGGTTGCATTCAGCCTCCAAATGGTGATACCTGTGCAACGGCACCTTAGGTAACTGTCTTCTTCATATGTATATTTTGTGACTTGAACTCATAATGTTAGAGACCATATCCGCGAATCCGCTGGTCGTCTCGCGAGGATTTGAGGCGGACGGTCGGTTTCTTTGAACTGATCAGCCTTATATAGTGATATTTCTTCCTGACTGCTCTGCTAGTTACTTAATAATACAGATTTCTTTGGCCAGTACCCGTGTACACCGTTTGGGGCTAGGCATTGTCTTCGCGATTTGGCTCCTGGACATCTTTCACTTATATATAATTTATCCGAGGAACATGCATTGTTGGCTATAGCAAGACCTTAGTGTCTCAGTATTTGTTATACTTATGAGCTAATAAACTCTTAACTATGCCCGACTATGTCCCACTTGTAGTGGAGCTCTAGACAAGCCTCCGAGCTCTATTTAGTGGTTCCGGAGCCTAACGAGCCTATTTCAAAGGTTCTAGCTAACAGAGCTTGAGCTGCCAAAGCCCTCGTTGGGCCGATTCCTCAAGAAATAAGATCAGATTTGAAATTGTGGTGAGCTGAAACTGCGAGAAGATGACAAGCCGCAGGGACGCCTTTTCACATACCCGGGTCCTCTCATCCGGCCATTGTATTTTCACATGACGTCGTTACGAGCGCAAATATGGAACAAACCGAGGATCTTAAATGACTGTGGTTCGTTTTCTGGAGCGCTCCCGAGCACCATACAATTCTGACGTAATGCGCTCAGAGTCCGAACGGAGCCTTGCAGCTTCAACAACTATATATTAAAGACTTCTGGCTTCCCCGGCCAGAGTTTGAGTGGACGACGAAGACAGTACTTGGGTTACATCAGGGTGGCTAATTCATATTGCGGTGATATTGGGTTTGCCTCCGGACACACATAAATCCCAGCAACGGCACAAGAGACAGCTTGAAGAACACACTGTCTTTCACTAAGGTAATGTCAGTACCGCCTGCAAACCTTGATTATCGTTCCTAACTTGGAGAAACGAAAGATTGACGGATATGTAACCACAGTTCGAATATGAGTTACCCCTTTGATCAAGGCGACCAGCAGGCATGGACACAGGTGGGACAGTTACTGGTAGCCACGGGACTGTCGTCCATAATCGGAATTGAACGAGAATGGAAACACAAAAGCGCGGGGCTGCGCACGAATACACTGGTCGGGATAGGCGCTGCCTTGTTCATGCTGATCTCGAAACTGGGGTCATTTGATGTCCTGGATAAAGGGCTGGTGGTGCTGGATCCCAGCCGGATCGCAGCCCAGATCGTGTCCGGGATTGGGTTCATAGGGGGAGGGATCATCTTCAAACAGCGCAACGAGATCCGAGGTCTGACGACTGCCGCCGGTGTTTGGCTGAGTGCAGCGGTTGGGGCTGCTTGCGGCGCTGGACTGCTCAGATTAGCAAGCGTTTCCACCGCGTTGTATTTCGTCGCTGTACTCGTCTATCCAAACGTGATGCATGTTCTGCGGCAATACCTCGAGCGGACGGATACCATGGAGATCTCGGCTGTGATCCGCTACCGGACCGGGGCTGATGGGTTGCAAACCCTGCTCATAAATATGATGGAGGCAGGGTTTCACATACGGGTGATAACCCGACTKGAAGAGGTGCTTGTTAATCAAGCCGGCAGTAACGGGGCTGCGGCAGACGACAGACATCCGTCGATTTCAAATTTTCCTAGGACACCAAAGACACCTGCGGCACATATTGAGAGGCTCGAGCGGATCTTTGACATCCATCTGACGGTAGATGGCTCTAGAGGTCCAGATAGTCTGATGCATGCTCTATCCCAGCTGGACTCGGTTATTTCGGTTTCCATTGAGGACGATGAAGGAGAATTCGTCCAGAGAGTTTGACAGTCAGATTTCCCCATACCACTTCTGCAGATTCTCTACAGTATGACACACGTGGACGAGAAAAGGACTGCATAGGAGATAGGTGGAAGAACCTGGACGAGTGTTAGTGCAGTTAAAAGTTTCCTGTAAGCTGCAGTCTGACGAATATACCAGTTTATATACCTTTTGAGAGGATGCTTTCATGCGTCCACTAGTGACGGTTGATACGGTGCTTTAATAGTCCTGGAGTGCTTACTGGATGTGGTGATGTACTGATACAAATGGATATGCCAGATCGCTTCTGCAGCGGTATACTGTAATGGAATAGGGCTAAAGCGACAAATTAATCATTCTTCCTCTTCACCTAAGAGCCCATGTATATTATCTCCTAGCTCGTCGCAGTAATAGGTCACTGGACGTCAGAGGTAGACCTGGGGATATATGCATGCTTTGCCGATGCTAATGTTCCCTGTCAAAAGGCATTCTTGATTATTTCGTCCGTCTCGTTCTTGTGCTCTCCTCGCCTATTGCTGGTCAGACTCCAAGTGCATCGATGTCTCCTGGTGGAGATTGTGTATTTCCCCGTTAGATTACGGCTTGGGGCTTCGCTATATGTAGCCTGTCTCTTCGAGCTTAAGGTCACTTTCTAACTCTCTCGGAGACTCTTCTTCTTATGTTTCATAAGAACTCTATATAATGCAGAAGCTTCCTTTATTCTAACCCGGGTTTCGACTGGTAACCCATATATCCAATCCACCCGATCCGCAAAGTAGGAGGACGATGCAACCCGCAGCCAGACTCCCAGCAACTGACTGTGGGATAGGGGATAATCCAAGGACGTAAGCCTCATCAGGGTATGGCGTTCGATTGGAGAAGCCGGAAACCTTTCTTTGCTGGGTTAGATGTTTTGCCAATCGCTGTTTGTATGCTCAGTATTATATCTGGTTCAGATTGCTGGAGGACCACTAACAACGCCGGCGCATTCATTCTTCAAGGGGGGTATTGATAGGTTGGAAAAGAGCCATTGGAAAAAGAAGCGCGTTTAGGTGCTGGGACAAGGAACGGGATCCCGACAAGCGTAACCGACTTGTTCCAATATCAAAAGCACAGCCCTCGCCGGCGGCAAAAGAGTTTACCTCATTTGCTTGATAGTGATTGGGAGAGGCATACAAGCAATGATGCAAATATCGTGCCCTCATGGTCGCGTTTCAGATTAGCGCTCCATATGGAAAGGTTGGGCTGAACATGTCAATTGTCTGACCTGACCTCCTCACACATGAAGCGCTGGAACGGCGTTGTAACCTAGGCGCAGCCCAAAGTTTATACGCTTGGCTAAAGCCATTGGATACCATACATATGGGATATAATTTAGGGAAACCGCTCCTTGTCGCTCACGAGGCCCGGAGTCAGCAAGGGGAGCGCAATGAGCCCAACCTATAAAGTGGGAGTGGTATCTCAAGCAAGTGCTCGGTAATATCAGAAGCGACTTGCAAAGGGCAATTACTTTTATTGTTATTATTATTTGTTATCGCAATCCGCATCCAGCCATGTCTCTGTCGGACCTCAAGGTCAACGGGCTCTATATTATTCTATTTATAAGGAATAGTCCTCCAATTCCAAACGATTTCCACTGGGCCCTCTACTTTCACCGTCATCCTGACAGCGGTGGCACAAAATACCATGTCAAGCAGCAAGGCAGTGGTTGGATCCCCGATCACGGGCATACTGCGGGAGTTCTCAAATCATTTCTCCTCGTGGGTCTTTTCAGGATCGCCGATGTCCCTGCAGGATGGGAGGGACACTTGGACCGGACCATAACAACATACGACAGCCAGTTAAACACTCTAGCCATCACCTGTCGTGTTTGGTTGCTACGCGTTCTGGCTCTTCTCCAGAAGCCCATTGACGGAAAGGTCATCCTGAAATGTGACAGCTTAGTAGCGCTGGAGAATGAAGTTAAGAACTGGGGTAATGCCAATGCGATGGGTGCTCACAACAATGATCAGCCAAGGCCCATAGCAGCCTCTTCATTGTGCGGATTGTGAATGACAAGGTATTCTCTCTATTGTCTCATTGAAAACGGCTAATCGCTAACTATAAGATACTTGTGGCAGGGCTGGCTAACAGTTGGACGCATTTATTGTTACAGCGGATATGCCATAAGCAGAAACTTCATAGACCTCATCATTCATGGAATTAATGAGCATGTTGAAGGGGCAAGACGAACTGGCAAGTTAAACTGGCAATGTTCCTTTAGCCCGGAAGAGTTGATCTTGCCTTTTTATCAAGCACTACATACATCGCACGGGCCTACGAGGGGCCAGTACACATCATCATGAACTAGTTATAGATCACCAGTAATAGGAGGCGCTTGTCAAAGACGTCAATGCGCGTTCACAATCCAACTCGGCCAAGTACGAGGCTCCCCCCAGTTCCATCAGGAAGCCATACCACCACGAATCAGGTGTAGCAAACCTCAAAGGCGTGGTAAAATCCCAATAATCAGGGTACCAGCCTGCGGCCTCCCAGTCCAGAAATCCAGTGATCCGCCCGCCCTGTACCATGATATTATGGTGCGCCAGGTCGCCGTGCGTAAAAACAATGCGGTGAGACATCTCCCCCATTTTCTTTGCGCGATCGAGTGCATTCTTGTACTCCGATTCTGATTGGAAACCACCCGCCCAAGCCGGGCTCAGAAGATACTCGTTGAACTCCTGTTCCGTCTCAAATGGACCAGCGAGATGATTGGGTATGCGGACACTCCTGACTGCAGTGCCTAAGAGAGAGCACATTCTGTTACCGCCCCAGGGGTTTCGCCATCTCCGCATCGCCTCTAGATAGCCCTTTAATTGCTGTAGGATCGAGTTCCGGTCCGTCTCGCTAAGCGTTTTGTATACTCGGCCAAGCTCATCGCCAGGGACGCGAGTCATAAGAATTGATACTGGTGCATGCGCGGTATCTGGGTGTTCCCCATAGCAGATGACCCTGGGAACTGGAAAACCCGCTCTTCTGGTGACCTGCATGGTCAACACTTCCTCTATCCGAGTACCATCGGACCACTTCAGGATCAGCCCAAATGGAAGCTGAGCAATTTGGTTGTTGTAGGTAGCCCCGACCCAGCTGCAATAAGATCGAGAAAATCGTCTAAGATATTTATGGACGATGCCCCAGAATCGGCGTAGCAGTGGATGCGTTGGGCGTGGAGTTGCAGGTATTTGGTCAGTAATGACGGGTGAGATGCGGTCTGCCCATGTAAAATCTGGCAGGAAGCAGCGGGGGATTAACGATAATTTCATTGTAAGCCGGGTGGTATTAGAGAAAGTACGGAAGTGCAAGAGGCAGGAAAGAGAAGAGGTTCACAGGGTGGGATGTGTTAAAATATAATACCACTATGACTATGGATATAAGACCCTAGACTGATGAATTGAGGACCATGTCCGGACACCCTTTTGGCCTAGTGGTATTATAATTCAATAGGATGCTTGTTTTTATTATCTGCAGGGTGTCTAACTCTGATTGGATAACTGATAACTGGCGATGAGTAGGTACCCTCGCTCACGCCTTGCCAATCACCAAAGTTCAGACTCTGGAAAGGTTGACTGCAGGTAAAGTGGTAAAGAGAGAGGTAATAATTAAGCAAAGATATTAGAGTTGCTAAACCGCTAGTACTATAAGTGCAAGCCAAGGGGCGTAGTTGTCTGTGGTAGATAGAAAAGGGCATACTCCTTTGCATTTTGCAAGGGCCCTAGCGATAGCGTTGGTTCTTTTAACCTGAGGAGCAACTATATATATAACGAAAGTTAGATACAGAACACTCCTGCCCCTGTGCACTAAAATAGGCATCTTAGAAACCTTAGTTGAGGTATATTGTAGTTATGCACTGGTTAGTGATATTTCAGTCACATTGGACGACTAACAATAAATTCCACTAAGCATTAACAAGAAACACAAAGAGAACACTTCTGCTATCCTCCCAAGCCTTCAAGTCGTTGAGTAGCCCGAATCTGAGCCGAGCTCCGCTCAGCCACACTCGGAGCTCTCACTTTCGGTTCTGCTCCTTTTTCTTCTGAGATTCCCTGCCCGCATTGATCATAAGCTCCTCCTCAGCGGGGCCAGCAAGCTTCATCTCATCAAGGTTTCCGCTACTGGGATGTATTCCACGGGATTTCTGGGAAGTTCTTCCGCGCTGCCTGGCTTCTTTCGCCGTGTCGCTGGAGATATCCAGATTGAACCTGGTTTCCTCGCGGGACATAACGTCAGGGTTCCGGGCCGGTGATGTCGGATTGAATTTCTAGTAGTTTCTCAAATTCACTTAGGAAAAGGATTCAGAAAAGCGAGTTTGGCGGGAACTCTCACCACAACGGAAGGGATATGTGGAGAAGAAGAAGTATAGTTGGATTGGCGCGGAAAGCTCCTTATAGACCCTAGATACCTTATGTTTCGAGGCTTTGGTTAAGAGGATGAGAAAAATGGCTTCATAGGATGATGGATAACCCACAGTTCAAAAAAGAGATAACTGATGATTATGATTGTGTTGTTTGAGTGAGAGGATCATCTGTTTTATAGCGTCCCTAGTATTCACCTCTGCCTGTCACACCATCCAGCGGATCACTGTGCCCTAGAATATGGCATCGAATCAAAGCGGAATATTCTATGAGTCCCTGTCATCAGTTCTAAAAGCTACCTGGATTTGGCATGCTGGCAACTGTACCAGTTGGCGCTTAATCAAAACTAGAATGCTAAAGTATCCAATAGAAGGTCACTTGTATCTGTAACTCAAGCATATGCCTAAACATGAAGCAATCACACAACCAATACCATGTTGCTAATGAACACTAGAACATTATGTGCTTTACTAAAGTAGTTGTCTGCGAAGCCTTTTAATAGATGTCTTTTCTGTACTCCAAGTATTATTGGCCCTTCTCTGTGTTGGTTGCCGCTTGAGCTACTTTTAAATATAGGTACATATGCTGCGGCTATGCAGCGGCTCCCCATCGCGGGACAGCCAATCAAGTCAAAAGTCTACGCTGTTTTCTATCACGTGAAATTTCACCGCCTCTCTAAGGACATTTGCGGTTCTATAATCTGACTGGTCAGTTTGGCGCCCTCTCCTCCCCCATACAGCCAGGAAGGTAAACAGGCTTTAAATTAGCATCTCTGCTGCGACTGCCTTCCCATTTTCCCACCAGATCGGACAACTTGTCATCTCTTGCATCCCCTCACTGCTTTGTTATCATGTCGTCCCCCATTCTTACCGAAAAGTGTATGGATTTCGACGATGTAGCATGGGAGCAAAGTGACAAGCGTTTCGATACCTGGAAAAAGGAGAAGCTGCTGAAACGGGAAAATCTAATCGCCGTAGGAAACCTGATCGATAAATGGAGAGGCGGTGTTCCTGACACCCTTCTTACACCTGGCCGAGGCGCTTTTAATGTCTGGGTGCGTTTGAAGTTTGTCGATGGCGGTTCAGCTGTTATGCGAATCCCTTGCTATGGCAGGTCGATGTTTCCGGAAGAAAAAATCCAACGAGAAGTGTCCGTGATGCGTTTTCTCGAGTTCCATACGTCTATCCCAGTGCCCCATATTCTTCACTATGGCATGGCCAAGGAGAGTCCAGATGAACTAGGGCCGTTCCTTATCATGGAGTATATCGACCACGAATACGACCTCGTTGACGCGCTCAATACACCAGGAATCCCAGACGATGAACGACCAATTCTGGATCCCCAGATCTCGGAGGAACGGCTAGTGTTTGCTTACGGTCAAATGGCCGATATCACGCTTCAGCTGTCGAAGCACACGTTCACCGAAATCGGCTGTATAGCCAGAGCAAACGAGGATGATGACTTTGATGACCTGTGGGTTGTGAAACACCGTCCATTGACGTTAAACATGAATGAACTCGTCCAAGTGGGAAACTTTCCCCACCATCTTCTCCCCGACGGTCCTTTTACGACATCGTCATCCTACTACCGGGCCCTTGCTGATATGCACATGGCACACCTGGTTACTCAGCGTAACGATGCCGTCGACTCACCAGAGGACTGCAGAACAAAGTGTATCGCAAGGTTCCTATTCCGGAAACTTGCAAGGGAGGGCCGGTTCTGCAAGTACAACGACAGAGGCCCGTTCAAGTTATTCTGCGATGACTTTCGCCCTGCAAATGTTCTGACCAATGCAGAGTTCAAAGTCGCTGGGGCAATAGATTGGGAATATACCTATGCAGCACCACTTGAATTCGCCTACAGCGCACCGTTCTGGCTTCTGCTGGAACTGCCCGAATACTGGCCGGAAGGGTTGGATGACTGGACAAAGGTTTATGAGACACGCCTGGAGACCTTTCTAAGGGTCCTGGAAGAGAGAGAGAAAGTGGCAATCGAGCGTGGACTGTTGACCGAAGAACACCGTCTCTCGACATATATGAGGGACAGCTGGGAGAGCGGAGATTTCTGGGTTAACTATGCAGCCAGGAGAAGTTGGGCTTTCGACATGATATATTGGGCGAAGATTGATAGAAGATTCTTTGGCGAGGGGGCCCTCGACGATCGTCTCCAATTACTGACTGCGGAAGAGAGGCAAGAGATAGAAGACATTGTGCAGAAGAAGATGAAGGAAAAAGAGGAGAGGAGACTAATAGACTGGACGCTTGACTCTGAGCCATGTTGAACATCCCTGGACGATAATTTCACGTTTGTGAAAGAAGCTAAGGGGCATCTATCTGGGCCTTTCGATGCTCTGGGCTTGCAAGCCTGGCTGTTACTTGGCCCTCGAACCAAGACGCCTATTTTCCGATATTCCCATGCTTTTGTTCATGCTTGTACTGAACACAATCCGAAAGCATGTCTTAATTGAATGTATTATCCGAATCAGACCCTGGAAAGCCGTTGTGAACCTTTGATGTATGGGTCAGAACCTGGCTATGCTGAAGTATATACTGCCTCCGAAGATGGCGTGCGACAGACACAGACTGAGATTTCTTACTCGGTAGACTTACTCTTTTTGATTCCTCTCATATCGGAGCTCTGCTCTAGTCAAACCATCCTGCACTAATTGATTATGTTTCACGCCCGTAAGTGGAGTATACTGTCTTCTCAGTCTCACAAGATGTTAGGGGCATGGCCAAGGTTTTCGGCAATAAATATTCCTTTCACAATGTCTTCTTCAACCCATTCCGGACTAGCCATCATTCCGAAATGCTCCTCAAATTGGCCATTTCCATCGAGAATGGCAGAATGAGCAGTGTATCAGTTCCGGCTCCCCCAGGTACTTCAAATGGTACCTTCCACAATGGGGACGGACAGCAATTTTCTTCCCTCAGATGTTGCTTAGCAGCAGCTTAAAACTGTTCAACCCACTTAGGTTGAGGCGCTGGGCAAGCCTGCCTCCTTTACCAGCCCGGAGCCATTTTCAGTATCAGCTCAATTGTCATTGAGCTGTAATAGTGTTGTCGACTACATAAAATGTACATTGCATGTAAGTAGAAGTTAAAAACTTTGCATCTGCTTGGGAAGCAGTGCTCATACTATTAACTCTTCCCTTCAAGTCAGCTGTGTTGAACAGCATCCATACCATGGTAATTACATGTACAGTTAAACTATGTTAGACCAAGTTCCCTCTCCCTGAATATCATAACGCATATCAAATGGTGGGTCAACATTTCCACTAAGAACCTCACCATTGTTCAATTGGACCTTTACCTCGTATGGACCAGCTGCTGATTCTGGCATAATATATTCTGTACCGGTTGGAGGGTTTTGGTATTGAAGTGTGCTGTTGGACACACGGAATGCTGGAACAGCAGAGTAAAGCCGTCCAGTAAAGGACCTCGGGGTACCATCAGGCAGGATATAGTTTCCCCTAAGATTCCTATTATTATCACAGACAAGTTGCCCACGAGCGGTATTTTCAGCCATCTATATCAATTATTAGAAAGAGCCTAATAAATCTGAATGAAGACGGAAGATGAAAGAAGATACCGTGATTTGTAGAGATGTATTTAGGTAATAATGTTGCTGGTGGCTTAAATATTGTTGTTGCTGAATTGCAAAGTCGATTTCATGAAGAGAAGAAAGAGCTGTAATTTATGCTTGTTGAGCATAGTACTGTACATCATAATGGGCTCATCTATGCCATAATTTATTATGGTGTTCCAGGGTTAAGCATCTGCATATACTGTATCTAGCAGATGATGTATTCCATCTGCTGCATGCGGTAGCTGACTAGTATAAACTCTTTTTACAAAGTTCATCTAGTACTCATGACTAAAAGAAAGAGAGAGTTATAGTAAGCTTTTTAACTCTGCAATACTGCTTTACTCATAGTCTAGATCAATCTGCCAAGTACACAGTATCATCATTACATAGTATGCTGGTCATATACCCTCCTAATCTCCAAGGTGGAAGGCAAGCCATCCAACTGCAATGTACTATCACAGCATGATAGGGTATTATTATCACAGAATACAAACCCCTCTAGCAATCATGCTCTAAGTAAATTATTATGAAATGAAGTTCAGTCGTAAACAATGGAGCTTCATATATGGAATTTATCCCCTATACTATCAGATTAATTAGAAATCAGTCTGATGTCTATCTTGTATATAAAACCCCAAGTTTACACATGAGAATAATAAAGGCAACTTGAACGTCCGCTACAGTACAACATGATAAACTCCGACAGGTCGTTGTTCTCTCACAGTTCGATATTCCATATGGGGGTCTGGGCAACGTCCTCGGTCCCAAAAGGGCCATCCACCAGTAATTCATCATCTGGCTCGCCCGGTTGCAAATCACTCTCGCGGCAGCCCGGGACCGGAACCCCATTGAAGACATTGGTCATCCACGCCTGGGGGACGACTATCATGGTAACTGTGTAGGCGGGTTGCTTTGGCCACGTCCTGGGTAACGTACAATAATTGATATACTTGGCTTTGCTTGGTATTATAAGCATTAGTGAGGCAAGTGTAACCTCCGAGACTTTAGGATAGTTCCAACCTCCAAGTCTGACCAAGAATCATTGTCAGGCGTGTAGAAAGGGTCCGGCTTGGCTGAAGAGGGCTAGCTTGGCATTATGCCCATGATGATACCTGCTAGAGCAATCTGATGAGAAACATGCTCAGACAGAATCAGGGGAAAGGTGATGAGATGCCTTCTTGTTCTCTCACTTTACGTCCTGGACGTCAAAGGATGGACGGCCGTAGTAGCGCCTCTAGTACGGACCATCGCCCTCGGTGTCCACACAGAACATCCACTTCCATGTATTTCAACTGATGACGATGAGTACCGGAGTATTCCCTTTAGTTGTGTCTTGTCCACCGAGGCGGTTGATCATTTAAGGATTCCGAGCGAAGCGTATCGCTTTAAATGTTGAGTCCATTGTTGGAGACTCCACGAAACAGATGGATTCTTAGCTCGGAACTCTGTGGTGCGTTAGGTATACTTAGATAGTATTACTACTAAGTAGTGAGAAATTAGCGCTACTAACATAATAGACTAGCAATGATTATGAAAGAACAAGTGATTCAGAACCAACTCTTCTCATTGGTAATCTCTTCACTCTGTATCCATTCAATAGATGCAATCTTGCTGACAAAGAATGGAAAGACAGATGTCAGCTTAGCCATACTGACATTGCATGAGGCAGGAGTTGCCAACCAGTCCGAGCTCATTCTAGAGCTTCTAGGTAGACAGGAGAGCGGAATCTGGAGGCAAGCAAAGCAAATCGAGTCGGAGGAAAATCGTCGAATGCAAATTCCAGAGAATTCTGTAAATCCTTTACCAGAACGTAAACTGCTTGACAGAAGTCAAGTATAAATAGCTGCAGGAATAGACATTTATCCATGCCAGAACCGTCTCTCGTGCTTCTACTACTCTACATAAAGAGCGTACCTACATTTGATTGACTATGTATTCCCATCCAAACTTTCTTTGGCTCTATGCCCTAATTACCACGTTGATCAGTCCAACACTGGCGTTGCCTTCGCTTCCAACAACCAACCCTTCGTCAACATCGACAGTCTTCCAGTTCACTCGCAATGGCACCTGGCTCGAAAACCTTGCAGTCCGACCTAACGGAAACCTCCTCGCGACGCGCCTTGACGCTCCTGAACTATGGCTGATCGACCCAGCCAACACCAACACCGCGGAAGCTGGTTCCTTATTCTACACCTTCCCCAATGCCACTAGTCTGCTGGGCATCACCGAAATCGACACAGACGCCTACGCAGTGGTCGCCGGCAACTTCTCCATCTCTACCGTCCCAGCACCCCTGGTTCATACGTGATCTGGAAACTCGATGCCTCGGGCACCGCACCATCAGGGAGTATTCTGGCACGGATCCCCGAAGCCGAGATGCTGAATGGCATTGTGCAGTTTAACGAGAACCCCCTTCTCATCACAGACTCGGCCAAGGGCGTGATCTGGCGGCTGGATGTGAGGACGGGAGTATACGCGCAGGCTCTGTCTGATGCCTCGATGCTCCCTGCCGCGGGCCAGCCATATGCTGTTGGTGTGAATGGCATAGACGTCCGCGGGAAGTATGTCTACTACACGAGTACCACGCAGATGCTGTTCTGTAGGGTCCCGGTGAATAGCGTGGCTGCCGCTACGGGCCCGGTTGAGGTCATTGCTAGTGGCATTACTCCGGATGATCTTGTCGTTGGGAGCGATGGGGCGGCGTACATCACCACAAACCCGGATAATGGACTGGTGAAGGTTGATCCAAAGGGGAGAGTCAGGTTGGTGGCTGGGAATCAGTTTATGATTGCGGTTGGCGGATCGACTGCGGTTGCTGGCAACAAAGATGGTTCAGTGCTGTATGTTACAACCAGCGGGGGACAGTTTTCACCCATCCTGGGTAAGCTCATTGAGCCGGCTAAAGTCGTGGCCATTCATCTATAGGTGAAGAATGAGGAGTGGAACGCTTGCATGTGAATTGCTGATCCAACCGCTTAGAATTAGACCTTAGTAGCCAGTCTCATACCTGATGCCTGATTAGACAGTAGAATTCTTAGATTGGTTGAATACAGTGACGTTATTCTCTTATTTCTGCGGCAACATATAAGAACTCTAATGGTCTCTCCAAGTAAAGCAAAGAGACTGCACCACTCCATGCTCAACCGGCTTCTCCCCCGGCATCTGAGAAACCGCATCGACAGCTCTCTCAAACCTCAGCTCCACCATCTTCTCACTGTCCACCGTCTCCCACCTCACCGTCGCGACATTGTCCCTCCCAACCGCCACCATCGCCGAGATGCCCCGACTCAACCTCAACCGCGGCTTGAACAACACCCTCCGCGCCCCAGGCGCATCGATCCTCACCCCCGCCAACTCCGTACAGTACTCGTAGATCGGCACACTCCCCCAAGCATGACAATCCGAGCGCTGCCGCACATCATCCTCCTCCCACGTCGTCAAATTACACTCCAGCATCCGCCGCCACGGATCCCACACCCGTCCCCAATACGCCTCATACGCCTCATCCCCCGCCAGCGAGAACGCCCGCAGCGCATAAAACTGCATCACATACGAGCACTTCGCGAACCCTGCATCCGCAAAACTCTCCGTCAGCAGACGCGCGCGGTCACCCTCCGCCACCGCACCGGATAGCACAGCGAACACTTGGCAGTGCTGCGAGTAGGCGCCCGCGTCGGCAATATCCGCAGTGGAATCCGTGAAGAAGCGCCCGTCGTAGCAGTGCTTGCGGACCGCGGCGAGGACGGACCACGCGCGCGAGGTGTACTCATCTGCGTGGCCTGGTCGGCCCACGGTGTGGAGAAGCTGCGCGGCTTGTTGAAGGCCGTAGGCGTATAGGAGGCTGAAGAAGGTGTGTCTGTTTGACTGGCGGCCCGACGTGGGGACGCCTTTGTCTGGGTGGGTATCTGTTGCGCCCCATGTTGTCACCCAGTCGACGTATTGCCAGACAACTTCTGGGAGGTTGCTGACGAGGCCGAGGGCGTCGATGTGGACGTGGAAGAACTCAAGGACGCCGTCGATACGGGGGAGGAAGGAGCGGGCGTAGGCTGTGTCGCCGAAGTGGAGGTGGTGGTCGCAGACTTGGAGGATCCAGTAGAGGGAGAACCCGGCGATAATCTGCGGGACGTGCGACGGGAATCGGGACTGGGTGAGGCCTTCTGGGCTGACGGAGGCGGCGAAGTTGGTGATGGCCTGGCGCATGAGGCGGTCGTCGCCGGAGAGGAGGTAGTGGAATAGACCGACGGAGCGGCTGTCGCCTGAGTATCTGAGGACGTTAGTTGAGCCTTTACTTGCAGAGTGGTGGCTTACTGGAGTTGCTCGTAGAACGGACAGTCGGAGTACCCGTCGAACATGCAGTTGCGCATTGTGCGGATCGAGACCTCCCAGATCCTCTCGCTGTACTTGTCGCCATCTTCCTGCCAGTTAGCCTTGACTGCCATCGGATAATTGACCTGGGTAGCGTCGAATGACAGGAGCTCAACCGGTGCAGGGCCACTGGCGATCTCAAGGCGGATCAGTCTAAACGTGCGAAACCAGAACGGCTCGTAGACGACGGTCTTTCCCGCCGGTAAGTCAAAGGTCACCTCGTCATACGGCCCAATGAGACGCCTATTCACCGCGTTTAGTCGATCAGCCTTTGTGCGGAAGAACGGGTAGGACCGTGGCTCTTGCTCGTACCCTTCCGAATAGGTGATCTTGAGGGTTATGCGAGACACCTGCATAGCTCGGAAGGACCACCGCAGGAACGCAGTCGAATGAACCTCTGCCTGGATTTCAAGCGCATGCGACGAATTGGCCGGGAGTGTCAGTGTCTGCTTTGCGTTCAGAAACCCCGTCCACTCGTCGATATGGTTGCTACTATGGCACTTTCGGACAGGTCCAACAGCCACAGAAGTCTCCTCAGGCAGGGGGATCTGACGAGGCCGTAGACGCCATGGCGACAGATCCCCATTCAACGTCCGTATCCCGTACACCATCGGCGTAACCGGCTCTTCCAACACAGTCGGAGTAATCCGCTCATTAATCTAACCGATTAGCCTCGACCACTCTTCTGCCAAAGGTACAGATACCTACATGCAGAAACATATCATCAACAAGTCCCATCGGGAACTGGACACTCTCATCCACCTGCACCAACCACCCTTCCCTCGACTGCACATCCATCGTCTCCGTCTGCGTCTCAATCGTCCCCACAACCGTCAACCCCGGAAAGGCGGTCCGCTCAAAGGGCATCGCACCCCTGCACGCATTGAAATACCTCACCACAACGAAGACAATCTCGTTGTCTCCCACACGCAGATACGGTGCGATGTCTACCGTGTCATAGTACCAGATCAGAGGGCTGCCGCGCGCGGGACCAACTGCCGCCCGCACGCCATTGACATAGAACTTGTAGCGTGTATCCGCTGAGCAATGGACTAGCGCTTTTGTAGCGGGCGAAGAGAGAGATATGTGACGTGTGAATCGGACGATTTTACCGGCTGTGTTGGCCGGAGAGGAATCGATCCAGTTTGGGGCCCAGATCCAGTTGGACTGGAGCGAGTTTATGGTCTGGACATTTAGTATGACGTTGTTGGGTTAGAAGAGGGGAGGCACCTTTTGTTCATCTGAAGAGATCATGTTGTATTGAATCCCTGGATCTAAACATTTGATGCGGAGAAGGGGCTTAGAGGATATTTATCTGGTTGATGGCTCGGGTAATCGGGGGAATGACCCCCGACATTCCCCCGCTTGCCATACTGCTACTGTGGGAGTTCAAGACGAAGCATAGAGACACCCGGAACAGCATTTCAAAGGTCAAATTCAATTTCTACACGACTATTCACCATTTATCAAAATCCAAAAAGCCAAAATCAGGAACAGATAACCCATCCCCGCACATCTCATCTCCCGCCAAAGCTCACTTTCTCTTCTTAGCATCCAAGCCACCATTCAAGTCCACATTGGACACTATGTGACATGCACACAATTACTTGCAGTGCTTGTGAAGGCTCCATCCAACACAGATAGCTCCCTCATAGCAGTTCCACGGAGCACGGCCAGCAGTAGCACAGTCAAGGAACTATCTCATCAGCCACTTTCTTTACCCCCCAGGCAAAGTGTAACTCACCTCATCACCACACTTCCAGAACGGAGCAGTGCCAACGCAGTAGATGTAGGACCAGGCCCGCTTGCCATACTTGGCAATCAGCTTGGCGAACTTGATCGCGAGCTTCCACTTGGGCACGCGCTTCTCCAGGTCCTCGTCGTCGTCATCCACGTCCGCCAGGTTGACTTCCTTGCCCTCGACATCATAGAACGTCGCAGCTGTGTCTGTTAGTTTGTGTTTGCGTTTGCGGGCTTGTGGAGGGGGCAAAGGACGTACTTCCTTCCGGGGTCTCGATGGCGGTCACTTCGAGGGTGCCGTCAACATCGAAGAACTCCATCTTCTTCCTGCCGTCGTCGAGGACGGAGCTCACGATGTTGCCGTATGGAGTCGCGACTGTGCTATTGTTGTCGCTCAAGGCATCCTCGCGGGGCATCAGGGAGGGGTGGCCGATGGTAGAGGCCAGGGCGAGGTGGCTGCAGAGAGCCACCATGAGGGCATTGACGACGACGATGAACTTCATTTTGAAGATGGTGGAGCTGTGGTGCTTTCTTGTTGCTTTCTTTCTTTGCTTGCTTGCTTGCTGGTCTGCTGGTCTGCTGAGTTGCTGTTGATTCCTCGATTCTCGTGGATGTCGAGGGTTTATATACCTTTGGTCTCTCGCAGAAGCCCTCCTCGATCGAAGCGTTCATCCTCATCACGGAGACGACTTCGCATTCCTCGGTGCCATTGCCATTGCTGATTTCAACATCCCCAGATGAAGCCGACGACAAGCGAGCAGAATACGATGCAACCTCGTATCGCGCTTCGAATCCCAGGATCTCTTTCACCTGCGGAATCCTGCCAGTAGAACAGGACGCTTGGCCTGCAGAGGCGGACCCCCTCCGTCCCTCGTATTGGACTTGGCATCTTGATTACCTGCTGCCAAGCCGTTCGAGGTCTGCTATAAAAAGCTCCGAGGTTGTGTGTGTGCCCAGCGCCAAGGGAGCCAAGGCCTCCCACTCGCATCTGCATTCGGGTTCCTGTATGCTCCGTCTTGGCGGCTTGGGCTTCTTGATTTGGAGGTATATCGGGATTCCATGGAATGAGGGCACCGATGGTGTATGAGAAGGATATTGCTCGTATTCTATCACTTGCTTCTCTCCTGCCAAGGCCTATAAAGGACGCATGAGATGCAGGCGTATTCAGATTTCTCGGCGCAGGAAGCAGTTCCAGTGAGGGCTTTGGTCAGATGAAGCCATTTCTCTTGGACTCGTGTGCAGTGGGGCTCAAGTATAGCAGCACTTGATACACTCTGCCTCATTCCAGTCCCGGATTATGGACCCCATCTCTATGGCCCTGGGTTAATCCATCCACCGCAGTGTATAATTCAGTTCCATACCCCGAAGGAAGACTCAGATACGAGAACTGATATTAATTCTTACGCAACGCATAAATATCTATTTACTGCTGCTCGTCAGGGCCAATCGTTCCTTCCTCTTCAGCCGTAGTCCAGAAGGACTCCTGGTCGACATTCCTCCACAGGTCCAATAGCTCATGAACCTCGTACGATGCCGTATACATTGCCTCTTCCACATTTGGCAGTGCCCCACCGGTACCGACACCGGAACGGAGTAGGCCTAAGGACTGGGAAAAGACGAGGTTCATGGAAAAGCCTAACTGGAGATACGTGCCTCGCGTGTCCGGTTGTATCCATTTGTGGCTTAACCAGCGGGGAGGTTCCTGTGGTTCTCCGCGGGAGCTCGGGATAACGAAGGTAGATCACCCCTGAGTCTGAGGATATTTTCCTAGTCCATTATTTGTAGTCCTTGTGTCCATGCTTACCCTCGTCGAATTGAGGTTTCCTGTCTGGAAGATAGACCATCGAATCTACAACACGCGCTCCCATTACTCTTTACTCTTGCGCTTCGCATAGCAGCAACAAATGCCACAGCTAAGGCGTCAGTAGCTGATGAATGGCAGGAACGAGGTCGTCCAGGGCACTCGACGTCCAGACCGTGATCCGCGACTGGTTACATGGCTATCGTCGGATCCTCATTATTTTCGATTCAACCGAGTCGGTCGACGGGCTGAGGGAGTTTACATATCAGATTTTTCACTCCTTGCAATCCAGGCAGGAAATCCTTTATCCTTGTCATTGGTTCCCCTGGCGAGAGTGCGGTCCAGAAAGAATCACAATGAATCTGGCAGAAATTGAGTGTAAATTTCAGCATCAAGCAGATAAATCTAAAGACCGCCTACTCTGAAGCCTCCCGCTCATCCTCCTTTCAGGCCTGGCCTTATTCCGCTCCTATGTCGCAGCTGCTCGTTTTCTCAGGGTATAAATCCATCCATCAGGATCTATTGGCTCTGATTGTCATCCGTACACCAATCACAGTAAGTTTCCTTTGTTGGAAACTATATGTATACTTTTTCTCTGTCTTAACCGCGCATAGATGATGACCTGCACAAGGCACTGCAGTGTCCTTTTTTAGTCTTTCCATACTCCTCCATAGCATCACCCAGCGGAAACAACAGCTTCCCCAACCCACCTCTATCTCTATATCTGTTCACTCCCCGCTGCAATGCCATCGCTATAAGCGCGTAGCTTTGGGCAAGAGTGGGAGCCCACCTGAACCGGTGATGGGAAAGGATCTGCAATGAGGCTGCTGCTTTCCGCCATGACTTGTATTGTTTCTTCGAAAGATGCATTCAAGTCCGCTCGGTTGGTGGTTTAAGGGTGGTAATGAGAGATGGTCGCTGGGCTTTCCAGCCAGGACGAGGCTAAGACGGAGCTGAGCGACAAGCACGTTGATTTGCAAGGTGAGAATAAGCCAATGTTGTGCCTCGATTCAGCCTTGCGAAGGTCCTGCTGTTTACGTAGAGAAGATTTGCATTGACCAGTGACACTGACAGAAGGTAGCATGGGCTATATTTGCCCTGTTGATATAGGATGCATAATCTATAGTCCGTGTTAAGTAACATTTTTTAGAGTCATGCTATGTTTAAGTGCTTGTTCTGTACCTCCATAGCTTTCGCCAACCCTGAATCTGGATATATTCCTTGTCTATGCAGGCAATGATACTATTTTGCTCCGAGGAGGAGAGCTGTATAAACGTAACCAGAAATATAGAAGGAAATGGGTGATCTTATTCCTTATTTTGTTAGTTTATCATTTGGTAGATAAGTTGATCAAAGCCTGCCAACTATATATCCGCATCACAATACCACGACGCTTTCATTAACCTCAAACTTATACTCAATTATCCGCCTTAATACAATGCGACACTTGCCGCATTGATCATGTTATCCGGTAATTGGACCCATCAATCAGCATGATGAAAGCATATGGAGTCATGGGCCTGAGTATAGATTAAGCTTAAATTAAGCGACCAGGCAAAAGGGCTGCCCAGCCAGCCATGATGCTTGATTGTGAACAGTTACAGTTATTGACCGATATCTCGTAGGATCAATGTAAAGACAAGAGATATTATGTCTCGCTTGACTCGTCAGTGTCTACGTAATGCTGTAGGGCGTGTCTCATACTGCGAATGGAGAGCTCAACAGTAGCCACGATGGCATGATATTCCATTGTGGGTCTTCTTACTATTAAACACTATTAACCAGTTCATATACAAATAAAGTATTATTACATTGATCGCAATATTCGGTATATTTCCGAAATATGGCAGAAGCTTCTCCCCTGACTCGTCATCGCAGGATAGGCCGCGTCATACCGTGTTTCTTCTGTGATGACCTCCTCAACATCATCAACAACGATGATATACCTGAAACTCACGAATCAAAGCAGCCGGCCCGACGAATCAACCGACATTATCCATGCCGCACGCGGTGGAGCTGTCTCGCATAGATATCGGATCACTTACCGGAACCTACATAGATTGGGGAGAGATCGGCATCCGAATCGCCTTGTATAGACATTTGTCCTTGCCGTCGCCGATTCAACCAACTGGTGGATTACTAGTGGATTGGCATTCACTGAGTAATTCTACATCTCCACTCGACGGAGAATTCCTGACAGACCATTATAGAATGGTGTTTGAGATGGTACCATGGTCGTCCTTCAGGGGTTGAGAACCAACTGGTATATAAAACCAGTGATCTGCAACTCATGGCTTAATGTTCCGTTCCTCAGCACATCTCACCTTGTCATTCTTTTCCCTTTTTTTCAATTACCTCAGTCATTCTTTTCTTGCCTACTTCCAGGATGAAGTACGCTGCTTTCCTTACCACCATCGGCGCTCTGGCCTCCCAGGCCTTTGCGGTTAGCGTCCAAGGCACCGCCGAGGGTTTCGCCTCGTCTGTGACCGGCGGTGGTAGTGCTACTGCCGTCTACCCTTCCACCACCGACGAGCTGGTCTCGTACCTCGGTGATGATGAGGCCCGTGTGATTGTGCTCACCAAGACCTTTGACTTTACTGGAACCGAGGGTACCACCACCGCAACTGGTTGCGCTCCCTGGGGTACTGCCTCTGGCTGCCAGGTAGCCATCAACCAGAACGACTGGTGCACCAACTACGAGCCTGATGCTCCTTCTGTTTCGGTGTCCTAGTATGTTGCTTCCATCTGAATTTTGTTTCATGGTTCTGACACAAGTAGCGACAATGCCGGCACGCTTGGTATCACCGTCAACTCCAACAAGTCCCTCATCGGTGAGGGCACCTCCGGTGTCATCAAGGGCAAGGGCCTTCGTATCGTCAGCGGTGCTGAGAACATCATCATTCAGTGAGTGCAAGAAAATAAAGGCGAAGGATTGTGCTGACTCGTGCAGGAACATCGCCGTCACCGACATCAACCCCAAGTACGTCTGGGGAGGCGACGCCATCACCATCGACCAGGCCGACCTCGTCTGGGTCGACCATGTGACTGTCCGTTTCCCCTCACACACAGACAAGTTGAACATACAGAAGACTGAAACCAAGTGAATAGACCGCTCGCATCGGCCGCCAACACTACGTCCTCGGCACCGAAGCCAGCAACCGCGTCACCCTCTCCAACAACTACATCGACGGCGAGTCCGACTACTCGGCCACCTGCGACAACCACCACTACTGGAACGTCTACCTGGACGGCTCCAGCGACAAGGTCACCATGAAGGGCAACTACTTCTACAAGACCAGCGGCCGCGCCCCCAAGGTCCAGGGCAACACCTACCTGCACGCCGTCAACAACTACTGGAACGACAACTCCAACCACGCCTTCGAGATCGGCTCCGGCGCCTACGTCCTCGCCGAGGGTAACCTCTTCTCCGACGTCACCGCTGCCGTCGAGTCCTCCAGCTTCGCGGGTGAGCTGTTCGGGTCCTCGAGTGCCTCGTCTACCTGCGCGTCTTATATCGGCCGGAGCTGTGTCGCCAACTCGTTCTCCAGCTCCGGGACGCTCTCCGGGTCGACTACTGATGTGCTGTCCAAGTTCAAGGGTGAGACGGTTGCCTCGGCGAGTGCGGCTGGCACTTCTCCTGCCTCTTCGGCTGGTCAGGGCCATCTGTAGAGGGTGCACGTTTCGAGGGGGAAATAACCGTTGCATGGACTGTACTCTAGTCAAGCTTATTAATATCAGTCTAACTATACGTGGCGAGAAGACGTATACACATAGTAACCTATTGGATTACCAATCCCATTGTAGCATATTATACATTGTGGCTCATTGACTGTGGATAGAGATAGATGATTTCACCGTGTTGCTAGTAGTTGTCTAAGGAATAGCAGACTCCACTCGCATATCCAAAAGTAGCCTGGACGAAGTATTAGAAATCTTCGAAAATGCGCTCAATCATCGGTGGTAAAGAGGCACGGCTCCGGATCAATATCTTGACCACAAATTCCAAGAAATGTGACATTGATATGATAGAAAGGGCGAGTATGGTCAAAGAATCAAAAATGTAAGACATATATGTTTCCAGTATATTTGACCTTGCAATGTAGCTAAATGTCTCGAACCTTGGATCTAAGCGACTAGAATATATTTCTCAACCTTCAAATCGCTTTCCAGGTGGAAACCGCGAATCAGACAGGGACTGAATCGTTCATTTTGACTGACTAGCGTCAAACTTGGAGAGCGGTCGAATGAGACAGAGCTCTATCACATCTGCGTGATAGTCCATTGCAGCAGGTTTGAGTTCCCCTGCACTGTAGAACGCCTATCCCCGGCCTGACCTGTGCTGGTTCAACCGCCGTGTCGTAGCCGCATCCATGGGCTTGGAGCACGGCGATTGTGACGCCAATTGGATGAGCAAGTCAGCTCCCTCTCGGAAAAGACATCAAAGCCCAGTTCAGCCGTTATTGCCGGATTGGTGGCGTTCCAAAACGAACAACTTTCACGAAATTTCCTCGCGGTCTCAATGCTTCAGTGTCCATCCAGGAAGCGCGAGACGCTCAATTTACTCGGTCGTTGGCAAACATCGTACTAGTATCCATGCTAGTACAATTTCAGTCACACTTTAGGTACCTATGGATGGAACCGAAGTGATGTTTATACATGGGCCCAGCCATTAGCAACGAGAACCTGCATCTCGTTGATCAAACAGAAGTCGCCTGGCTCATGCCGGCCGCTAGAGAGAGCCTTCCATTGGGCGACCCTCCGTCGCACGACCAACTTCTTGAAAATAGGCGTGGTAGCCCACCGCCGGAATCTGTTCTCCCACAGAGCCAAGGCGATATATTGTGGAGACAGCCAGGAGCCAACAGGGTGAACCTTTTCGTATGCCGTGCCGTTATAACCAACACGGACCTTGGGATTCAGGTAGACGCCCTGGAGTCCTGAGAGAGGATTGTCCGCGTGGATTAAGCAACATTCAGAAGCCTCAAGATGGAACAATGCTAAAGAATCGGGAATCCCACGAAAGCGCAGCGGCGTGCCCGACACAAAAGGCTCAATCGGCATAACGACTGTTCAAGCCGGGTGAGTCAAAGCAAGGGAAGAACAGATACTACGGGACAAGCAAAGATGAGCTTACCCATGCCATTCCAACAACTCTTGACGGGGACAGGGGACATGTTGAAGAGCGCATGCCGAGATGTTGTAGAACGAAAATAAGGCCACGTTTGCATAACATGCTCATCGCCGCGGCTATCCCGCAAAGCAAAAGTATCATAATACAACGGAGGTCGGGAATAGTCTAGAGAGCAAGCCGCGGCGTATACCCCATCGTTTGTGTTAAGCAGTTCAATAACATCATCTACCTGCGCGAGCATCGAGTAGGGTTGGAGGTCATTCTTTTAGCAAAGCTTGAGTAGGATAGGTACGTACGGTGAATACCACGTCATTCAAGAAGAGAATCTTGTCAAATGCTATGCCTTCCCGTTCGAGATCCTCCAGAGGGCGCAGGGTCAAGTTGCGGAGCCGAGCCAGGTAAGGTATACGCCTGAGTTCCTTCCGGCCGCGAGGAGTATCTATCCAGCCTTCGCTCGAAGGAGGAACCGATATTTCATCCTCGTGAGTCGTGTCCGAAAGCGTGATGTTCCGTCTCACACCGAGACGATCCAGCTCGACATCAAGATCACGAAGCGCTCCCTTTGTATCATCCCAGCTTCCGCTCTCAAAGACACTGACGAAGACATTCTCCGCACCCCATGTTCTAGCCAATTGAACGATTGCGTCATTCCAGTGACTCCGCAGAATCGCCTCGTTGTTCCAGTGCATGCTCGCAATGTATATTCGCTCCGGTTTCTGTGGCGCACGGGGCTTGATCGTGTCCGCTGTTGAGACCCGCTGATATATGAGAAGGATTTCTAGTGCAATCCATAGCCCGAAGCTAATAAACAAGGCCTGAACGAGACGGCGGCGCGGTCCGTACCGGCGAAGCAGACCATAACGGAAACACCGGGCGAAATCAGAAGAGATGAAGTGCATTGGAGCGAGCCGGGAATCGCATTATTTGGATGAGTAGAGTAGACGGTGCGAGTTATCGCGTAGAGTACCCCTGAGGCCGTGAGGTACGAGACAAAGGAGGATGATCATGACTCGTGTTGCTAATTCTGCCACTCTTCACCGACAACAAGGAGCCAGAGTACAGAGTATCACGTGCGAAAATCCAGCCTTTGTTCAACAGTGTCATATCATCATATCATCATATGCACAAGCAGCACAACTGCCATAGCTTCTGCGATGGGGCCATGCTTCATTGCCTGGTAGGGTCGGTGACCTGCAGCAGATCGATGTCGATGATGGGGAGACCCGACCTATGACCGCAGAGAGACGACCACAGACGGCGGAAGCACGTATATCTACCACTACTATTTCGTGAGAAGATCATCATACGGTCATACCATTGAATCATCAAATCCCAAACACCATAGAACTAAGCATTCGTCCACCCCCTCTGACACAAAACCAACAAATACCCATCCGGATCCTTAACCGTAACCCCCCACTTCTCCCAATACTCATTCGAATGCTTCACCCTCACCCCTTCACCTTCAACCAACCACTCCACAACTCCGGGCTTAATCGCCATCCACATAAATAACCAACAGATCCTCCTCAGTCGGCCGCGGCACATGCTCCTCCTCGCTATCAGTCACCAGCACTAGCTCCAAATGCCACGCTGCGCCCGGCCACCCCAGCATCAGCAGCTCATGGCCGCCCTCGACTTCGTGCGCGGGCCCACTCCGCCAGAGGACTTTGAGGCCTAGTCCGGTAACGTAGAAGCGCTCTGCGGCGGTGAAATCACGACAGGGGCGCGCGATGCGGATGTGTGAGGTTGCGGTGGGGAGGCGGCCTGTTCCCGGGGTGGTGGCTAGGGTTGGGGTCTGCGGGGTGGCGTGGACGTGGGACATTTTGTGTTAGATGCTTGACTGCTTGCTATTTGATTGTCGGGATGATGGGGATAGGCTCATGATATATGTGTTTACGCGGGGCTAGACCTCGTTCTGGGGCTTCTATTTGTCAGCTGGATACGAGATATTATTAAGGATCACTCCAGTCATAGATGAATGTACCTATATACGGATAGAGGATTATTTGTTGTTGGTAGTACATAATAAGATGCAGAAGAAGCAGTAATGAACTGTTAAAGAGGACTACAAGCCAAAGAGAGAATGAGCAACGCCAACACCCCCACCGTAATGATCATCATGACACCCTTCCCTCCCGGAGCAGTACCTCAGCCAGCATCGCGCGATGCAGCAGTTTATGCAGAGCTATAGCAGTTAGAACGAACCCTAGAACAGACAAAGATAGAATACATACCTTCTGGTGATGTCCCCTGCGGCGCCTGAGGCGTCACCTGTCCATAATCAATCGCAACATCCGGAACCTCAATCTACAACTCCAATCAGCAACGCTCATCCGCATGGAATGTAACAAACCTCATGAGCTCGCAGATCCGCATGCAGCAGTTCCCCCTTATCCACCACATTCTGCAGTAGATCCTCCAATTGCGCCGCGTGCGCCCGAGCGGAGAATAGCGATGGGAGACGGTACTTTCTCGAAACGAGTTTGCGCCAGCTGTACCATTTCACTGAGGACGGAGGGATGGTGTAATTGTGTTTGGTTAGCCAGGAGAGTAACTCGACGTGGACGTAGGAGAGAAAGACGCCGTGTTCTACGCACTGGGAGTCTTGTCTTGAGGCGTTGATGAGGCGGCCGTCGGATTCGGCACGGGAGGAGTACTGGAGGAGGAGGGTCTGAATGGTGGTTCGGTCGAGATGGTTGTGATGGAGGTTGCTGGCGACTCGTGCGAGTAGAGTTGCTAGGCGGGATAGGAGATCGATGGCGTTGGGGTCGTCGCTTTCTGTGGACATTGTGTTGGTGTATTGAGGAGGTTGATGGTGATGGATATGAGGTGTTGGGGTGTCTTATGGGAATAGATGCCATGGCCGTGATGATGCGCAAAGAATCATATGATCGATAAGCTCATCTGTATTGCTGGTTCTGTCGGATGGTGATGCTGTGTAGCTATGAACCATGGAATGGATAAACCTACAACTGCCCGACAAATTGGTCCAGACGGGTTTCTAAAAGTCAATGTAAAATGCAGCGATGATAATAATAATCATAGCTATTGGTCCTCGATTGTAGGACTCTAAGGCACACTATATGGCAGTGACACCAGCTACCAGTTAGTGAACAGTGAAGGGTGTAGCTCCTTCAACTGCTGCCCTGCCGGAGGAAGTGGTTCAGGCTCATCCCAGCCACTATCAAAGTCCTCGAAGATTCTCCTTTCCCTGACCTCCTCTTCTTCAAACTCTTCTCCCCTCAGATAACTCAAATAGCCAGTGGCTTTCTGTTCGCGGAATCTATACCCAACCTTCTCGTCCAATGTGGCCAGAATCCCTGCCCAGCTACCGTTCAAAAGCTGTATACTGGACAATTGAAGGGAGCTCATTGTGTCACTCAGCCCGGAGCAGAACCTCTGTAGATCATCTTGCTTCGAGGAGACATCGAGGATCGCCAAATGTTTGATCCGCGGCCATTTGACGGCAGCAAGAACAGGACCTAGGTCGTACCAGCCCACCTTCGTGGTCCGGCCATCATTGAGGCCAAACGGATAGAAGCTCATCCGCACATCTTCCAGCCCTGCGCTGCACAGTATTGTGTTGAGATACTGGTTGACATAGTACTTTTCTTCCGGTCGGAGATGCTCGTGCCGGATGGAACGGTGGTTGAGGCAGGATCCGAAATCGACTCTCCGGAGACTGCTGCACGCGGCTCGAAGATCTGACCATGCTGTAGGATCAGTGGAACTGCTCATAGTATCGGGACAGAGCAGAGAAAAACTGCCCCGGCATGGGAACGGTCCGATGAAAAGATCCCTCAGCTTGACTCCGGCTTTGTGTATGGCAACCGGCAATTCGAGCAAGATCCTGGCAGGCGCGAGCTTGAAATCCCCAAAATCCTCGATCTTTTGCCACTCCAACGCTGCGCTCAGCATTCCGGGAAGCAAACTCTTGTCTCTCAGCACAACTGTCGGGTTGTTCCAATCAAATAGTCGTTCCATTTTGTCGGTGAAGCCCAGGGCAACCATGCTGGGCAGTTGGGAGATACAGGATGCAACCGTGGTGACGAAGGATCCCGTCGTGATGAGTTGCAGCTGCTCTTCATGCTTTTTGCGGTATTCAGTATAGCCTCGGACGAGGATCTCCATGTGCTCATCCGCCTCTGATTCGGCGACATGGTCAGTCTTGTCGTTCTCGTCACTCTCGTCAGAGTCAAAATAGGAGTCCCACGACCAACTGATTTTGCCGTAATTGCTTGTCGCTTCTCGATATACCCTCAAGGGCAGCGGGCAGACTGTTTCATCGTCCGATTCATGCCCTCCGAGGAACCATTTCTCAGCGTAATAGTCACAGCGATTGGCCATTTCTTGCAATTGCTTCTTGCGGAAGTCCTTGAATTTCGGGCAGTCCGAGACAAGCTCCTTTGGACGATATTGCAGCCCCACTTGAATAGCATGCACACCTTGAGCTATCCGGGGGCGTTTGCACAACTCCACAGCCCCGTTCAGCGATTCCTGGTCAAGATCTACCCGGAGGATCGGACACAACAGCGGTGACGCCAAGTCGTTGAACAGGCTGCAGACCAGGCGGACATGTCGGATCGTCTCGCGGGCGGTCCTGCGGGCAATTTCTTGTTCACTGGGTAGCAACCCCCAGTCAATTTGGGCCTGCCTTCTGATTCTTGTGTCCTGGAAGTAACCAAAAATCTGGAGCAGAATATCAGCAGGCAAATCGACTATCGTCATCGGTCGGATCTTCGCGCGGGAAAGCTCCATTGCCCCAGCTCGAAGCGCGATGCGGCGTGTGTCGATGTCATTGAGTACAGTGTTCTTTCGGATCTCCTCTGGGTTGTCCTGGGCTGGAGCTTGCTCGCTATCCTTTTTGGCGTTGGTATCATCCTTTCCTTGCTTCGAACTTATAAACCGCTCAAAAGCATCGAGGCGACTCAGTTCTTCATAGATCTCGTCCAGACTCAGCGTGCCGACATCGTCAAATTCTGGGTCCCACTTGTCGAGCACATCCATTATATGATCGGCAGAGTGCCTCGTGCACGGATTTGTAGGGAATATATATTTATATGGAGTATCTCTTTAACATCGTAGATGCCCCTAAAATAATGTATCATTGTGACACATTGTGACTCACATTGAGGCGCAGCAGTATGCTTCAATCATGCTGGTTGACCTGCCAAGCTTAAACTCTCCATCACCAATCGCCGCTGTCATACACTGTAAGGAGTAGATAGTCCGAGCATAGCCTATAATGCCTCTTTAATTTAGCGAGCTGGGTTGGACCATTTCTTTTGGGGTTCGACCAGCCACCTTTAACCTTTATCTTTTGGCCTAACACCAAGGTAGTACCTTTAGCCTTCCATTCTATGAATCGATGTTTACAGTCATTGAAAACACCCAGCCCACTATTATATGAGACTTCATTTGCTATTACACTGCGCTATCTGTCCTTGACAGCTCTCAACTGACTACTCGAGACTGAACAGAGCTAAAATGATCATCCCTGGCCGCACTCTCCTCACCCGCACCATCATCCGCAATGTCCAGAATCCAGCCCTGCAAGTCCAACCCTGCGGCGTGGACCTGACCCTCAAACGAGTCCTCACCTGGACATCGCCTGGAACAATTGATCTAGAAAACCAGCGTCGCCAGACTGCGGCAACAAGTGAAATACCCTTCCCCGCATCAAGTACCACTACTCCAGAGGAACGCTTCCTCGATCTCCCGCAGGGATCCTACCTCGTCGAATTCAACGAGACGGTGTCTGTCCCTCTTGACCTCATGGGCCAGATCTTTGTGCGCAGCTCACTCTTCCGCTCTGGTGTGTTGCTCACCGCCGGTGTTATGGACAGTGGATATGTCGGGGCAGTCGGTGCCTTGATGCAGGTGCTTAATCCAGCTGGACTGAGGGTTTATCCCTCTGCGCGCCTGGCACAGCTTGTATTTCATCAGATGAGCGAGGAGGTCGAGGGGTACGCGGGTGTTTACCAGGGGAGGACGGCGCTCTAACCTAACTGGCTTTGCCATTAATACACTCATCTAAACTCTAGTGATTCGTTTTGTACAGACTGATAATCAATTCATATGCATCCCCCTACTAACACAAATACTCTGCCCCGTCACCCATCCCGCTCCCTCATTAGCCAGGAAAGTCACAACGCGAGCAATATCCTCGGGCACAACGACTCTCCCCCCCACCCAACGGCGTATTCTGCTGCATATCAGACCCCACCGCTCCAGGCTCAACAGCATTAACCGTACACCCCGCAGGACCCAGTTCATACGCCAACGACCTCGTGAATCCCTCCACGGCAGCCTTGGACGCAGAATACACCGAGAAACCAGATGCTTCGCGCCGAGCAGCTACAGAGCTGAGGTTGATGATCCGGCCCGGGGCGAGATGCGGGATCACGGCTCTGGTCATGCTCATCAAGCCGTAGACGTTGATGTCGACGACGGAGGAGATGTCCTCGTGGGTTGTTTCAACCAGATTCTTGCATTGGGAGACACCCGCGTTGTTGACTAGGATGTCGATCTTGTTGTCTGCGGGAAGGCCTCGAACGTGGCAGCGAGGATTTGGCTGGGGCGTCTGGCTGTCGGAGGTCAGCTTGGACTTTGGTTGATGCGGAGCCGTTGTCCAGGTCGTGGATTTTGTTGCATAGATCGTCGATTGCGTGCGCGCTACTTGTGGATGTGTAGGTTAGGGTGAGCTGGTGGAATTAGCGATATTGTCGCAGAGATGAAGAGGTGGTATACGGTATACCTTTGCACCCTGCTTTGCGAGATCAAGGGCGATCCCGGCGCCGGTGACAATGGCGATTTGTCCTTGAAGGTTCATTTTCAGTAGACGATTTGTACTCTGTGTGAGGTATGGATTTGAAGATAGAAGGTGTCTTACCTCTCTGATATGCGCAATCTGCCTCATTTGCGTAACGTTACGTTATAATCAAATCCTGGAAATTATCATATTCAAAGACCGCAGAGGATGCAGTAGCTTTGGTCTGGTCCATAGTACTGAATGCTTCTGCTTATACTTGAGTCATCTGTAGAGAATTTGTCTTTGTTACTCGGAGCAGATATACGCAAGAGCTGTAGTACTATACATACTTGACACGTTCTTGATAGCGAGCTGTGAATAAGATACAATGTTATCGTTGCACAGCAACAGTATTATACATTATTTTCCTGTTACTAAAACAGGATATCCCAAAAATCAGCCTACCAGGTAAACGCCTCTTCCACAAAATCAACCGAAACCCCCCGATCCACTTGCCGCCTAGCCGCCTCCCTCACATCATCCCCCAACGCCCCCGGCCCACAAACCGACACCACCGTCGCCCCAATCCTCCTGGGTATGATCTCCTCCAGCACAGTAGTCGGATTACACCGCCCCGCAAACGTCCGAATCACACCCCCCGCCGAGCGCATCTCGCCGGGACTCCTCGGCTTCGACACAAACAGCATGATCGTCAGAACTGCCTCGGCGTTCGGCATCTGCAGGATCTCCTGGATATACTCCAGCACCCAGCGTACGCTGTCCATGCTACGGACCGCCCAGACCAGCGTGATGGACCGCGTGGCGGCTCGGCCGGCTGCGGCGCGGAGAAGTAGATCCCGGATGAAGAGGAGGTGGTGCGTTATGCCGACGCCGCCGGAGAAGAGGATCGCGGTGCCATAGCTGGCCATGTTGACTGCGTGGGACGAGTAGGGGCCCTCGAGGAAGCCGGTTGTTGTGAATGTTTCGTCTGGGGAGGACATTGCGCGAGTGTACAGCGCGCGGGTCATGCCCTGGCGGGCTGCGACGACAAGTGTCACTGCGGTGTGGTTGAATGGGGAGGATTGGTTTTCGAGAGTGAGGGATTTGACGTCGGTGGTAAATGACTGGATGCTTTTCGGGCGGGAGGTGCCGGAGGTTTCTGTCCAGGCGGCGGAGAAGGGGTGCGACATCCACCAGGAGAGTTGGGGGATGTACGCGAAGAAGTGGCTGCCTGCGGGGACGGGGTAGTGTCTGGGGAGAAAGAATGTGAGACGGCAGGCTTCACCAGGAAGCGCTTCCACTCGCAGCTTTGTCATGCCGTGTCGCCGCGACACATTCAGGAAGACGAGCCAGAGGAGTCGAGTGCATCGTTCTGCACTCCAGATGAGAATGACCCATTGGATCCATGGCTTTTGAGGCAGGCTGTGCATGTCGAGGTGCAGGTAGATGCCCAAGATAATCAGGAAGGCGCCAGCTTGATGAATGCAGAGAAAGGTCTCGTAGAAGGCATGCCGTACAGGCGAGAGGGAGTGCAGAATAAAAAAGCCCATGACTGCAGTTGCAACCATTCCCCAGGCGTAGGAGGGCGTTTCAGCAAGATGCTGAGCAAGTGCGGCCGTGTTTGCCTCTCGGACGGTGTTGACGGCCCAAGCAGCCATGTGAATTATGCTCTCGATGGCGGCGATACGGCCTAGCCATCGGTGGAAAAGGTTATATGAGTCGAAACTGATCCGTAGGAGAGGGATCAAGGGGTTGTTGCGTGTGGCAAAGAGCACAAGAGGGACTATGTTTAAGGTGGCCAATGTACCGGAACGTCCCCGAAGCTCTGCAATGACGGCGGGCGTATCGTTCTGATAGTTGAGATCACAGCAGTAGATGATTTGGCTGAGAATATACCCAAAAATAAGAAGTGACTGAAACCGGGAAGGCAGAGTGCCCATATTCATGGCCGACGAGAGCTGGATCTCTCGGTTATGGCGCTTGCCGAACAATGGCGCATAGAGCAGATGGCTTTTGATTCGAACCCAGAGTGATGATTCCGTGATGCTCCAGACTGATTGTTGCTTTTCAGTTGCACCGGAACAGACAATGTAGCGAAGATAGGCATGCCCGATTTGAGCCACCCGTGCGAGTAGGACGATCCCGGCGAAAGCCAACGTGGATGAATAGATAAGTTGGACAAAAAGGACATCGCGAGGAGTGTTGAGGCCATCATGGCCCGTGGCGTAATCCACCATTTGATTAGACTCCATGTTGATGATGCAGGTTATTAGACTCAAGATGATCAACAGCAGTGTGCTCACTCTGTATATAAAGTCCGCCTATCACTCTAAGAGTCCATGACAGCATGATCCACCAGGACATTAGTGTGAAGAACTCCATTTGGGATTTCCCTCATGTTTCTTTTTTAGGGGTAGCACACCATGCCATAGCTTGATGCAGGGGATGGCAAGGGTCTGTCCCGGTTCCATGACACCATCGCGGCTGTCAACCTGGTCAATCCGGCTTGTCGACGGATAGAGAGACAAATGAGAGGCATCTATCGTTCTCCATCGTTCGAGGGAAGACTTTTGGATTCGGTGTCCACCGCTAACCGACAATTCAGGGTCTTGGTGAAACCTATAGAGGGTCATCCACGACAAAAGCTGCTCCAGCTTGCCTCCTGTTATCTGTGAAGGATACCTCCTGTCCTGTAAAGGAAGCCCGGGTGCTTCGGATGAGAAGCTTCTCCTACTTTGACTCAGTGTGAGACGATTTTGTGAAGAAGAAGGAGATGTCCGTGTAGACATGAACCCTTCCATGGGAACCGCCTTGGATGGTGAAACATTCGTTGCTCCATAAGGTTGTATTCTCATGTTGTATCCTGTCGGCGGGGAAGCAGAAAAATCGAGTTATCGACTTGAATATGGCCCATGATATAGGACATCGGCAGTTTCAGGTTGCTGAATATCCTGCTCAAACCGTGGGTCTGATACCTGTCCCCTGTCCCCTGTCCCCACCGTTTCAGAGTTTCTAATTATAGTCCCAAATATAGACGTTCGACATCTCTCGCTTGGGTCTTAACCTCACCTGTATAAAAGTCTTGAGATAGAAACATTAAAAATACATATCCAGTGGCAGCTTACTCCCTGCCACTGTTGGAAAGGTAAACATACCTTAATGATCTAGGAAGTAAGCATGGATAACAAAATCTAGAAGATCCTTATTTTTGGGCCCTGAGTCCTGACCATTAGTCGATCCTCGTTAGTGCCTGTGCAAAAGCACTAGTGCCTGGACCTCGGCGAATTATACAATACTATTATTATATTTAAAACAAATTCAACCTGGTCCTGTCACATGTCCTGGCGCCACTATAAAAGGTAAACCGCACTCTTATCTTCGCTTGGAGCAAATATAAGTGGGGAGTGGAGTTGGGTGTGTAAAACCCATAATAGGGATATTATTGTATTAAAAGCGATAGAAGTTCAAACCAATGCTACGCTAACTTGAGCGTTTATCTATATGATGGACACTAGGGCATCCTATAGTTCTCAATCTGATAGTATGCTCATTCAAGAATTTGGATTGATAATCTTGTTTAATGTAGAGTACCCAATCTACTTTTGACGAAATAACAGAATAATATCTCGGCAAATAGTAGTGGAAGGCTTTCCTGTCAGCCTTCACTTCTGACGCGACCCCAGCCCTATCCAGAATCTTTAGTTATCCGTTTGGAACACACGCCTCTCCCTTTGCCTTAGTCCTTCCCATCTGCGGGAAGAGTTCTGATTCCGTGACAGCTGCTGAAGTTCTCCTCCGACATCTGCCCGAACTATGGGGCTGACCTGGCTCCGGTGGTGATGATATGTTTCGTGGAGAGGGGCTACCAATTGTTGCCAATCCAGCGAGTGGGAGTCATCGGCTGATGTTACAACTTTCAATATGTTACTCGAGTACCCCGAAAACCAGGTCAGACGGATGGCTATTCCGTGCCGCGCCTTCGAAGACAATGAGGAAGTGAAGCTGTTGTTGGCCGATTGAGGCATACACGTCTCATGATCCTGCGGCAGGATGCAGAGAGACGTCCTGCCGAGGAAGCAGACAGCAACTGTAGTGTAAATCCAACGATCACCAGTATCTCAGGGCTTCACCCCTCATTTTTCTAATCCATTCGATGCTTCAGACTCTGCATGGCCCATAGGCAATGAAAACAAAATAGAAAGAGCCAGATGATAAGGATCAGAGCCAGACTTGCAGTGAGTAGAATCAAACTTGCAACTGCGAATCGCTGTGATCCTTGCTGGAAGTTGTGGTTATCTTGTAGCTTTTTTGTCCCAAGCCCTACCTGCATCGCACTTAATGCAACGGTCACGTACGCAAAAACCGCAAAGATCCAACTGAAATTGCGGGCGAAGAAGGCTTTATACCACGTCGACTCGGATTTGAATCCCTTGATAAAATTTTTTGTGGAGAAGACKGAAGGGAAAAATTTGTATATGCGGTGCAATCTTGAGAGTCGTAGCTCGCCGTATCGGTACCGAATGGAGATATTGCTAAGGGAGTGTATATCGACGTGACTTAGTAAGTCGGCCAGAAAGTTTACCCAATTCTCCCAAGTGATTGATTCAGGCAAAAGACCGCTGGAATGCGCTACGCTGAGGTCAGATTTATGGCATATAAGCCAGCTGTAGGATAGGAGGAGCCCATAAGCAGCTTTGCGCAAAGATTCGTCTTGAAATTCCTTCTCGAGATGGTCCGTCCAGAACTGATAGGAGAGCATATATTCTGGAAGCGGTTTGACGAAAATACGAGACTCATGCCAAACAAGGTGCTCGTTCGGATCTTCGGTGACTATGATTGTGCGATCAAGCAGTTTTTGTCGATGCAATGGCCGTGCAGCCCGAGGAAGACCTGCGAGCCAGAGATGTTGATGGATTTTGTCCAGACGGAGTGTCCGCAGATCTTGCTCTAGATATGTGCGCAGGTCATCCATAGGATGGAGGAGAGAAGACCTCTGCGGAATGTAGACAGGTAGACAAACAGGACTGATTAGGAGTTCATTTTCCTTGTTGAAAGGTGGACTGACAGCGCTACTTGACTGTCAACACTTCATTTGATTTGATCAATTTGATTATGTGTCTTTCTCACCTTGTGGACTCCATCTTCCATCAACTTCGCAACCCCATTCAAGAAGGAAGTTTTCAACCTTCAAGTGCAGGGCTGGCGAGAGGCCTGTTTAGGGCCATTAAGAAAGACCTGTCAGATTTGGTGGAAATTATCCTACGGAAAGACAAGAGCTTGGTAGACATCCAGACCAGACCAAGCAATACACCACTGTCCTTTGCAGCAGCGAATGGGCGTGAAGCAGTAGTTCAGATTCTTCTTAAGGCAGGTGCCAACCCAGAGAATGACTCGGGCGATATGCCACTGTCATTAGCAGTAGCGAATGGGCATGAAGGAGTAGTCAAGCTACTCCTTGAGGCAGACGCCACCCCAGAGTCAAAGGATCACTCTAATTGGACACCACTGTCATGGGCAGCAGGAAGTGGGCATGATGGCTCACTGTCCTTAGCAGCAGGAAGTGAGTGTGAAGCAGTGGTTCAGTTACTCCTTAGGGCAGAAAAGGATAGCTCTAACCGGACGCCGCTATCATGGGCAGCAGGAAGTGGGAATGGAACAGTGGTTAAGCTACTCCTTGAGCCTGGCGCCAACCTAGAGTCAAAGGATATCAATAATCGGACGCCACTGTTATTGGCAGCGGAAAGGCACAAAGGAGTGGTTCAGCTACTGCTTGAGGCAGGCGCTAACCCAAAGTCAATGGATAGCTCTAGACTGGCGCTGTCATGGGGCAGCAGTGAAGAGACATGGGACAGCTGTGAAGGGGCACGGAGCAGTGAGTCAGCCACTCCTTGAAGCAGAGAGAGTCAAACGATATCTATAATCAGACGCCACTGCTATTGGCAGCAGTGAGTAGCCATGAAGCAGTGACAAAGCTACTGCTTGAGTCAGGTGCCAACCCAGACGATTGTGCTTCAAGTTTGGGTTTCCTGTTTTCGTCGTCCATGAGTGCAGCGGTTCCAAGTATGGTCCGAGAGTGATCTAGGAGTAACCCAAAAGTCATCTAGAGATAAGACTGGACAAGATGATATCCGAAAGCTAAAGGGAGGGTGGTATGTAGCAAGCATCGCAGGGGTATGAGACACATCCTTATCCATTCAAGCCATTCACGATAGTGTGGCGTCATAATAGACTACTAAAGTAGCCTGTTCTTGTTCGAGACCCGGTCTCTAAAGCTTGGACTTTTATCCGCCTGCTAAAACAGTTAGCCAAAACAGGTGAAACGCAAGTCAAACGAGTCAGACGTTAAATAGATAAGAAATAGGGGCAAAGGTTGCATCTAGTCATACTCAGAAGAGTAACCCTGAGTTGTTGGATGTAACATTCTATTTATTACTACTGATCTCTACTGAGTCCAGCCTTCCCTACCCTTACAAAACAACATCAATAGCAATATTTCCATTCTGCATCAGCGCATCGATAATGAACGTGTCACACTGAAGCAAGCCAGTGATTCGGCAAGAGGGACTATATTCGACTCAAAGGTCTGTCATCAAACAAAAAGTCGTCTTACCATTCGAGCCATTGCATTGATTAGTGTCCGCCGTAGCTGATGGGCTCTCAAACTGGACGTAAGTGGTTCCTCAAAGAGCAGTCAAATATCTATTTCATCTCTACTTACGGAATGCTAATATTAAGTGATTGATAAGAGATGTAAGCAAAACATTGCATCTGGTGATTATCACAGTATGCTCCCTCCATGTATCCCGCAGGGCGTAGGGCGTGGACCACGACAACCATAATAAAGCCGCAATTAGGCAGCCACAGATTGTACATCCTATATAACATTAGCAACCAGCCAGATGTTTGCTGTATAAGACTTGATATTTTTTATTTCGACTATACTCTACCAGAGCACTGTCTGACGGCAGCAGAAGTCCACCAAAAGCTTTGCTTTCCAACAGTCAACCCCGAGAAAGTGCGACACTCCTATTAATGTCCATGCCAGTATTGTATGATTCCTTCAGTTAACGACCCATACATAATCAACTGATATCAACTCAGCATACAAAGCAAATCCTGAAATATGACAATCCCCGCCCTCAACTTCCGCCTCGCAACCCCATCCGACGCACCCCAAATCCAACAACTAATCCAATCCGCCTTCCGCGCCTTAGACCCCAGACCAAACTGGACCGGCGACACAACCCTCTCCTCAAGCTTCCACATCGAGACCACCGAGATCCTAAGCACGATCACCACGCCGGACAGTGCCTTCCTCCTCGCAACGGACCCCACCGGTGCTCTGATCGCCTCCATCGGCATCTCCAGGCGCGGCGCGCACGCGGACGACGATGCTGGACTCGCGCGCTTCTTCATGCTTGCTGTCGATGAAGCGTACCAGCGGGGTGGAATCGGGCGGAAGATACTTGCCTACGCGGAGGGGTATTGTCAGAGGAAATGGGGTGTTAGCAGGGGAGGGCTAAATGCGCTTTCGACGCGTGAGGAGCTGATATTGTGGTATTCGCGGTGTGGATATCGGAGGACGGGCGAGCTGACGCCGTTTCCGGTTGAGAAATTTAAGGATATGCAGTTGCCTGAGGATTTGTGTTTTGTGGAGATGGAGAAGAAGTTGGTTGTGGAGTGAACTGCGTGAGGACTGACTGCGGTGCAGGAGGTGGAGAGAGAATGATCATGATCCAGAAGGCATTGATTGGTGGGTTTTGCTGTTTTTGTCGTTTCATATAGTAGGTAATGTTGATATTGTGAGCTGAATTCTGAGGCTAAAAGTCACGTAGACTCAACCAGCGCTGGAAGAGGTAAGGATGGAAATGCTACTTCTATTTCCTTGATGTTTTAAGCATGAACCGGCTTCACTAGGAAGCTTTATAACTATCTAAAGCTAAACAAGGAGTACTGGGCCCTGATTAATAGGCTATATGGTCCCGGCATATTACAGTGTAGCCGCGCAGAGACGAAAAGTCAACAGTACCTCAGCGTGCTCACCCGCCGATGATGGCCTTCCAATCTCTCACTATAACAATTCCATCCTTCTTGAGCTTTAGAGACATTACGGCGACCTCAACTTATTCTCCTCTGAGATGACAGGTTCCACTGCCAAGCGGCAGCAACGCGAAACAAAAGCGTGCTACCCGTGTCGCTCGCGCAAAGTCAAGTGCGACCTGCCAGAAACGCGGTCATCCCCAGATCTGTGTCTATGATTTTGAGGAATCTTCTCCGCGGAAGCGGGCCATGTTAAGTCCTCAGAATAGCAACGCTGATGCCTCTCACGTTACTGGCTTGGATGGTGCAAATGATCAGCCTCCAATCAGGAATTCGGCATCTCCTCTGCATATCGGACTTGCATCAGGATCGGTTAATCAAGAGGACCCTGCGAATTACGTGTGCTCTGGAGAGAATACAGTCATTTCCCTACTGGGTTCACACGACACCGATGGATCAATTACCCACAAGGCGAGCTCTGTGTTGGGACTCCAAAACAGCTTCAGCAATTATCCGTTCATCGACCTCAAAACACCCAGAGATCGCTGGAAGGCTCTCGTGGAGATCCTTCCTCAGAGGCAGGAGATTTTGAAGTATGTTGAGCGACTAACCCGGGGTGCCGGTGCTGATCGGCAGTAGGTTTTTTCACTTCTACCGCACCTCCACCCATCCATCCAACCCAATCCTTGTCGATATCGACGGCTTTGAATTGGTCGTATGCCAGTTCCTTGCATCCTACGCGTCTGGGGAACTGCGCGATCGCGACAAGATCTCGGAAAGATGGTCGTCAGATCGATCCGTCGGTCAGATCAGTCTCCTCCTGGCCGCGTTGGCGTTCGGGAGCGCACTACTCAGACCTTGAGAACCCCGAGAGGTCGGAAAAATACCAAAGCTTTGGTAAGAATAAGCCCTCTTCTATCGAGAAATCATGAACTGATGCTGGAACCAAGCCCGCCGATCTTTCCAAGCATTAAGGTTGGCCAATTTCCTCTTGCGGCCATCGCTTGAAGTTGTCCAATCTCTACTCATTCTGCTAATAGCCTTAGCATTGGTACAGATTAGCTATCTCTAGTTTAAATTGTTAAGTAGAAAGCTATTAACCCCTTAAGACTCTATAGTTAGTATATTAGCTAGTTATGTATTAGGGATAGGGAGGAGTATGTTATTTATTAGCTATTTTGTATGTAAAAGTATATAGGTGCATCCATGCATAGAGTTTAGACAAGAAAGTGAATACCTGTATTATTATTGCCTTGTTGATACCCCTACGTACACGTGTTATAAATCGTGCAACACCTCATAAATCAGATATACCAAAAGCAAGCCTGGTACTGTAGCAGCCATTACCAATGAGGGTAGAGGATGCAGTACATTCCAACGTGATTCTCACCCTTCAACTCATCTTGTGAAAATAATCACTTGTAAGTATCTAGTGAGAAACTCGTCCCTACCACCCATTCCGGCACAAGCAGCGCCACTCAGGCTTCTCCGAACAGCAATTTCCATCTACTCATCGTCGTCGATATCGACGACCGTCTGCTTCCATTTGCGAGCCGGAACATGTCGCTTGAACAAAATGTCGATCTCGCGGAAGGACCTGTTCTTCATCTCTGGAACCCAGATCCAAGCCATGAGGGTGCAGATAAAGGCGGTGGCAGCCCAGACATAGCCGCTCTTGCCGCCCAGGTTCCACTTATCATCGTTGAGCATGTAGCTGGCAAGGAAGATGCAAGGAATATTGACCAAGTAGTAGGCACCTCGTCCAATACCGGTTGTCAGTGGCCTGAGACGAACGGAAGATGTCTCGCCGATGATGACCCATGAGGCAGGGGCGGGTCCCAAGCAGAACAGGACGGAGACGATCAAGCCAAGGGATGCTTGCGCATTGCTAGCCGCCTTACCACCGCCAACTGAAGCCGCAATACCAAGCGCGATCAAGAATGCACAGTTGATGAATTGACCATAGACATAGATGGTGCGTCGGCCGAGGTATGTGGTGAGGACCCAAGAGAGCATGACCATGATCCACTGGAGGGCAGAAGTGATGAGACCAAGTGCAAATGCGGTGTTGTCGGCCATGCCGGCCTCTGAGCTGGTGTTAGTCTGCTATGAGGTTGCAGGAAATGGTTGGACTCACGTTTGAAAAAGTAAACCGCTTGGTTAGCAATCAGATTGCCCGTCAGATTCTGAGATGCGTACACACCGCACACAATCAATGTGCGGTAGCGATCGGTACCTTTCCACAGTTCAACGAGACTGGGCTGCTTCTGGCTCTTCTCAAGATCGATCGTGCGACGCATCATTGCGACTGCGTCAGCGGGATTATCATTTGCACTCGCGCGTCCAAGGCGTTTGACAGCCTTCTCTGCCTCAGCCAGACGGCCCTTTCGTACGAGCCACCAGGGTGATTCAGGCGCAAGGAAGAGTAGGATAGCGAGAGGAGTAGGAAACATCCACTGGAGTGCAATGGGAATTCTGGTATGACTGTTAGTACAGTGCTCCTCGATGGCATCTATGGGAGCGGACGAACCTGTATGCTGAGGAGTCATTCTTGGATTGGTAGTGGTAAGTGATACCGCCGACAATGATCGACCCAATAGCCCAGAACATCTGCAACATCTGCGTCGCTGGAGCTCTCAATCTCATTGGCACAATTTCGGCACAGTAGGCGGGTGCATTGGCGATAAAAATGCCCCACGGGATGCCTTCCAGGATCTGGGCCGCGAAAAACATCCCCTGGCTGTTTCCGAAATAGAAGATGAAGATGAAGCCGTTCAGGCACATGAGACCGCCAATGGTTGCCCATCGATATCCAATCCAACTGGTAATGGGACCTGCGATGAATACACCGATGAAGGCACCGATTGGTCCGCTACACTGGAATGCTGACTGCCATGAAGCTTCGATAATATAATCGCCTTTTACGTCGCTCCATACACCAAAATCCTGGGCGAATCTATGTGTGGCTATGAACTGTCCCATCAAGAAAACGCAGTATGACTCCATGATCTATCGCAGCGTTAGGTTAGAGAAATGATCTGCCAATCATGGGCAAGAGCTTACAATGGTGCATGACATGACGAATGCCCACCAACTGGCAGCGGGATAGGCCTTGACAGCCTCTAGCACAGTCATCTTATGCTCGATATCCTCAGCATTGATGGCGCCCGCTCTGTCGAAGTCGACCTTCTCGCCGACATCGTAGACAGGTCCGCCCTTGGAGGTGGGCTGCTCCTCGAGCTCCAACGATGAGGTCGGCTTCTCTGTGACGACGTTATCCATGTTGACGATTTGAGAGAAATGTGAGAAATGAAACGAGGCAGGCACGACTGGGTTTTTAGGGGATGTTATCTTTTAATACCTGCGCGTCTGCATGGGTGTGCGCGTGATAGGTGATACGTGGGTTAATTATTATATGCAATCAAGTCAGCAAGTAGCGGTCCGAGTCCGATGTTACCGCAGCTTGTGCCGCCGGGCTTTTTCCCATTTCCCCCACCCCGTAAGCAAGGGATAATGGTTGCAATGGGAGACAATTTACCCGAAAGCGGCCAGGCGCCGGACCAACAAAGCGGAGTTGTGCCATGGGGTTTTGCACAAACTACCCTATTGGACTGAGGCCTGCGGATCAGAGGATTGTGGCGTTGGGAGAGCCTGGTTAAGGCCACGAGTTTGAAGGGAGTGTATTGTCCTCCACAGGAGAATCTCCATGTTTCAGTTTGAGGGTAAATTATGCGGGGCCCCAAGACAAGACCGCTGCTTAGTGCTTGTTAGGCTTGTCTAGACTTGTTCTAGACTTGTTGGTGGCTTGTTAGCGTCTTCTTAGTGCTTATCGAGCTGCCACTCACATGCCTTGTTACCGAAGCTTTTGGCTCTCTGTCTTAGCTCTTCATTTAATTAGTACTGCCTCACTTTCTGATTGGTTCATACCCATTATCATGTGCCGTCTAGGAGGCCTTAGGCCGTTGCGACCGGTTACAGCTTGTCCACATGGGTGTTTAAATGAGCCCTAGTCGATGGTTTCAAGATAATCTCACTATCATGGTAGTACGGGAATTCCAAATGGTCCTTCGTCCAATTGTTCTGAGTAGAATATCATGCACACAGTGATCCTTTTGAGCTCAGCAGTCGCCACCTCACCGAGCCCGGACAAGATGAGAATGAGAGAAACTCCAGACACGCTAGGGCGCGCCACCTCGGGGGATTCTCCTTTGGGACAATTGGCCGCTGCCAAGCCTTCCTTGGTCGTGAAAAGGGTTTGTCCTAACTAGTTTCAAGCATGCTAATCTTGCATTGGTACGATACAGTTAGCCTACAGCTTCACAGCAGTGGGGACCTGTTTGCCTCGGAAATAATTTCAGCCCTGTCAGCGAAATTGCAAAGGAATGGCGCAGGAGCTGGATTACTAGGTGTCTCCTGCCTCGTATACACTTTTCGACGTCCTTAGCTCTTTAGGTACAAACATCGGATAATTACTAGTAGTACATGGCAAAAAGTGTTCAGCAGACTTAGACGCCGGAATTCCTGAATACAAGTCTTCATTCCCTCGACCTCGAGCCAGTCCACCTGCCTCCACCGGAAAGGCCGAGCTAGATGGGTAAGGGATCCTGTCCGGTGGAGGAAGAGATCCTGGCGCAGAAACTGGGGAAGGTGATGCTTTGATTGTCTGTTTTGCAATCATTTACTTAACTAACCAGTTATGGAAGCAGTCGTTCAGTACGTGCATGAACCACACCCTGTCCTACACTTTCTTTCAATTTTCAACCCATCAGGCACGAGGCAGTGGAGACCATGTCTACATGCCTGCTTGACCCAACCGAACTACCCGAAGAACCCGAATCCTGCGCAGATCGCCGTTCAGACATGATCACTGAAACTAAAGAGCTGTGCATTTGTCTGGCTGCTAGTTTTCCCGCTGTTCATATATAGATCACGCTGCCGAGGTAAAGGCAGGTCGACAGCTATGAAGGAGAATCCCCAATGTTGCCAAAGACATATAGGCTGGGAAATTGCTGCAACCCATAAAGACGGTGGCGAGTATTTTCAGCCATCGAGCAAGGAGAACTCTCCTTGCTGTTCGATTGCTTGAGTTGCGAAGATAAGAATCATGATCAATGACATACATTCAGAGATTTGGAATCATGGATGGCATTTGTTTATGTGGTTACTGCCGCATGCGGATATCCCCCGCACATTTGATAAACCTTAATCTGAACCCTCAACTTCCATTGTAGCATTTCTATATCCAAGATTATTTATTTCTCGGCTACCTAAGCTCTATGGGATAATCTCAGGCAGCATAGGATGGGTTGCGTAGATGTTGTGGTATCGGTCAGTGGGATCAACATCCCAAGCAAGGTATAGATGGGAATAAGAGAACAAGTCTCACAATGGGAATGAATAAAAGGGCAATTGGGACGAATAAACAGTTTGTAGTTGTATCAAACCTGCAAGTCTCTCATCCAAGGATCATAGCCATCGGCCAGGGGTACTCTGCTGCTTGAGGGATACACCCATAGTTGGCAAGAGACTCCCTAGGAGGTACTAGCGAACCAGAAGTCCATCCAACCACCAGCTATGCAATCTCCAACGTGCAGTCGGGAAGATAGAATCCAGACAATGAAATCACGCCCCTTACCCATGATTGGCAGATCATTTCTCTAAGAGAGACCTGGAGAACCTTGTTCAATACCCTCCAGCACCCAAACATTAACCCGAAGCTTCGAGGCCAGGGATTTGTCAAGTCGGTCTACGAGTTGTACACTCAGTGTCTACATATGACTCACGCAGAGCTCCATGTGATACACGACGTCACAGTTCAGTATCGCAAGACCTCCGAGACCAGATTCGGAGCCTCCGCCTCAATTACCATCCAGGCCATGACCAGATTGCTGGATATCTGTCGAGAGTCCAAGCGATTCGAAGCCGAAGTCGTCCACTTGTGCGAACAACTTCTCGGAACTCCATCTGATGAGACCGAGATCGACCAAGAGAAACTCCAAGCAATACTGGATGCTCATTACGAAGAGCAATACGCTTCAATCGCATCGGCCAGTGTCGAGTCTGTTTCCACCGAGCAGATACAGCGAGTGATCACCATCCGCAGGGAACGGCTGACCACTATACGGGCTACCTACGGATGGGCTCTGTGTCGCTTATTTCATTGAGATGTTTGGTACTCGAGTTGAATGTAATTAAGATTACTTTTAATAGCTCACATGCGCTCATTCTATAGGACCATCCTTGACGGGATTGAATCCCGCTTTAGTCCGCTTACAATGCTGAGATACACGGCCAGGAGACCCCACTGTCGTCAGATTCCGATGTCGGAAGTTCTAGGGAAATGGAGCGAGATCTGTCCTCTACGGCCCGTCCTAGCTGTCGATACTCAATGCAACTGCCCCCGAGCAGTGGAGCAGCAGTGAGGTATCTCGACCGGACGTCCCTTTTCCGCATGTCTTCGAGCTATGGGGGGGTGCCTTGCCGTCGATCTGATTAGCTGACAGGTCCGCTCTTCAAGGGGGTCATCAGCCAACCGGAGCCGAGTCTATTTTCCGGAAGTGGAGTGGACCCCTCGTCTGGATGCGAAAAGGATGATGGTACTTTAGTAATGGTGGGCATGTTGGTGGGTATTCCAAATAGCTTCGCATATATGCGGTTACGCCCGCCCTGGATACTGTTGTAACCCTGTGTGGCCGTATATGGAGGCCCTCATGGCGTGTAAGACGTAGACAGCCCAGTTCAGAAATGATCCAAATAGCAGGCACTTTTAACAGGAAGCATCGTAGCCCTTCGAGTATTGAGACCGGCCATTGATTGCATTTATCTTTTCTTCGAGAGACCAGCACCAGAGAGAAAGCCAGCACTTAGCCTCTTCCCAACAATTTTTAATTGCCTTGTCAATTACACTGCAATAGTTTACTCTTCTTAACCATCTGTCTAAGCTGATAATGAATGGTCTCCTCTCCTGTTGGTAATTGTGGGGCAAGTAAGGCAAGTATGCTTTCCCAATGCTCCCACAGTGATGATTAAAGTAATAATACCCTTACACCATGTCTATTGCTTTAAGCCTTAATGTCCTTTTAATTAAAAGCTGATTGCCAAGGCTAAAGCTGAACTAGACTACTTAGCAGAGATCCTTCAGGCAGAGAGGGTGTAGGTTTACCAGCCGCCCATAGGGATCAACTGGCTAGATATTAATAGATATACCAGGGTGATGCCCTATAATGGGCTTATGAGTGTCTAGAACATGTTAATTAAATCCTGCTTTACTTAGCCCTGCTACAATCAGGAGATTGAAATTAGTTATAATACTATCCTAAGTAAGCTGGCACTAGACCGCTAGGTAAAGATCATTTGCTACCTGCCACACACCTTATCTAATATCTTGCTGGATGAGGATGGGGGTAAATCTAGTCTGTGGGTGATTAACAACAGCCGCCCTGTGTTTAATACAGTAGACTTTATATGGTTTAGCAAGACTATCCTTAGATAATTTAGCCATATTATAAACCAAGCTAGAGTGGAGTACATCTAGTGCTGCCTGCATGCAGGATATAAGATAGAGATACTTGAGGTCAATGACCCACATGCTATATATAATATATATTAATACGATGATCCTTCTAATTTGTGAAGGGCTGCTTATCTATAACCTAAATAAAGTTATAGAAGGAGCACTGCGCAAACATATAGTGCTAGTGGATTAGGGAGCTGAAGGATCCGCCCCTTTATATAACAAGCCCACTGTTGCGTCTTAATGCCTTGGTGTTAGACAGGAAAGGGTTGTAGTTAAGGCCAGTAACCAGCAGACTGCAAGGTGGTATAAATCTCTAGGGATGAAATGCATACTTTGCCCCTTCAGGCATGTCAACTGTATCAGAGGCTCTTTCCACTGTGCCACGGTGGATCCGGTGAGTGACAGCACACAACAGCGCTAGAGGAAAGATGTTGTCAAATCCAGTTTCAATAACAGGTTTTAATTTTCCTTTTTCCGCAGTGAAAATAGTTAAAGCACGTTGACACGCCCCCAAAAAAGACGAAGAAGAAGGAGAAATATAGTTGCAGACCAGGATTATTTTTGGCTATTTGGCTTAACTCGCGAGGTAGTCTCTAAGCGATAGTCCAAAATCCACAAGCTTGTTGCAACACACTACTTCCCACCATACTTCTCCAAGACCTCCTCTCTGGCATCCTGGGAAAGTGACCACAACGGATCCCAATACTGCATCTCCGTGGGATCCCCCTTCAGGCCTGGCGCAGAAAATGTAGCCAGCCCAATGCGCCGGTCATAGCTCTCGACAGATCGAATCAATCGCTTTCCACCCTCGGCTGGTAGGTCGAGAATGAAGTTCGGGACAAGAAATCCCGCAATACGTCCGCGAATATGCCGCTCCAGATGTAGACCATGGCTCAGCGGGGTGCGGAGATCCTCTGCCCCAGGGACGATATCCCCTTGGTAGACGTAGTACTGCAGACATCTCAGTAAGAGCTTTGGGTACATTTTTAAATGAAGCCAACCTACCGGCTGAATGTTAATATCTCCAAGCGCATGAACAAGCTCTGTCATGGTCTCAAGAGTATTGTTAACCCCATTCAGGAGCACAGATTGATTCCGCACGGTGACCCCAGCCTCGTACAGACGCTGCGCACCGCGCCTCGTCACCCAGGTGATCTCATTGGGGTGATTGATATGCGTGTGGATACAGATATGCTTGCCTGCCCTACGGGCTCGGCGATCGAGCTCAATGACAGTATCTGTCCAGTTATCGTTCGGGTCGATAAGTCGACTAGGGGACACGCCAAGTCCCTTACTGGCGAAGCGGAATCGACGGATGTGGGGGATACCCAGGAGTCGGTCGCCGATGTAATGCAGCTGTGACGGTTCAAGGAGGTACGTGTCTCCGCCTGAGACGACGATGTCTCTGAGCGACGGTGTTTTCTCAATGTACTCGAATCGAGGGGCCCATTTCTTCGGCAGAGGGAGGAAGCGCTTCTTCTTGACCGATTCCGTTTCTGTACCGACGGTATAGGAGCGGAAGCAGAAGCGGCAGTACACAGGGCAGATAGATGTTGCTGTACATTGTTAGCGCAGTAACGACTAGATACGTCCAGCACGAACCAAAAAAAAGGGCCCGGTCCGGATATCGGTGGATCAACCCATCCACAGGCGAATACTTGTCTTCATGCATTGGGTCCAACACCGCCATTGGGTGGTCGATATTCAGTGGGGAGGAAATCGGCACAAACTGCCGTCTGACCGGGTCGTTCAATGGATCAGACCAGTTTACCACGCTGAGTATGTGAGGGGACAACCGAATGGCCATGGGGGCCTTCTTGATTCCCTCTAGGACCCGTTCAATGAAGTCTTCCCGAGTGCGTATATCTGTAATTCGAAGCCAACTTTCCATGTCTCTCTGCGGGGGAATCGTAGCTGGCAAGACTGACGAGAGGAACTCTACAAGGCCAGCTGCGCTTTGAACCGTGTTTCCCATCTAAGTCGTTAATATGCTTTTTGCCAGCACGATCTGTGGTCACGACCTACCTGCCACTTGTGACTCAGGAATTGATCTGCCGTAACATCTTCCCACCTAGGGATCTTCTTCCAATAGGGATCTTCTCTTTCAACGGAATAGGTGATTGGTGGCGGAGTGAAGACCTGCCTTTCTGCCACTACAGGCTCTGCGCCTAGGGTTGATGCCGTGGTGATTCTGCGCTGCATAATGGCTCGTGTGAAAATTGGAAGGCATTTTGAAGTTGTCCACAGACTGTAGAAACGGGGAGACATTGTGAGTATCTTGGATGAAAGATATCACCGTACGGGAGCAAGTGACCAGTACTCGAGCTGTAGCAGAAAGCTACGGTGTAAGTAGTATTCTACTTCGTTACTCAGACTAGAGTTCATTTCCCAGTATATATAACGCGGGAATGCTGCATGATTTGACTCATCACATCGAGAGTGAAGTCACATACCTTGGTGCGACCTTTTACGTAAATCAAAGACACCCAAGCTAGAAATGTGCACCTACCAGCGGTGTACGTAATAGGGAGTCAGCCAGAGCTTTTGAATGAACTTGCTTCCATCAGGATCCGGCCCACAGCACATGGAAGATACCTGTGGCCTTGCTGAATCCCTGCGCGGGCTGTGGGGACAGTGAGGTATTTGTGGCTATCCTAACGGACGGAGGATTCTGTCTTATTTGGCGCACTGTATTTACTTGACAACTTGACAAACCAACTCTAAAATTTTTCCCCTTGTTTTGAAGTGCCATGGCGTCAAGTCAGAAGGAGTGCGTGGTTCAAGTATTTTTCGAGTTTGTTTATGATATCCTTACCTTCCAGCAGTTATGCTATAGTATCCACTAGGTATCCTATTTGGAGAGAGACGAAGACGTAACATTCCGTATATTTTGTGCTCCAGCATACTTCGAGGTTATAAGGTCCTCTAGCAGTGACATATGGGATCTCCAGGTACGGAGTACATGTTGACATTCCTTGCCCGATCCGGTACTACGTCCTGACTACTGTGCAGTCTGTACTAGCTGGTCAGGGGAATGCAGCTCGGCGGTTAAGATTCAAGATTTATTGGCCGCATGCAGCAAGCAACATCCCTGGCTTAAAAGAACGCTGGCAATGGCGCTATATGGCTGTGTGTGTGCGTCAATAGAAAAAGCATTCTTCCTTCGGGACAACGAGTCTGAGCAGCCAAATTGTGACGCCGCCGTGCCTTTTCAATTGCTGCGACAGAATTACTTCCTCTCCCATAAATCAAATTGCTTGAGTATTATCATCATTCACTACTTCAACTTCGACCGTCCTATACCGAAGTCTCAAGATGCCCCCAAAAACCCCCCTCGTAATACCTTTCATATTTCGCATGTTTTCTCTGATGCGGCGACGTTGTCGCTTTCGCACGATAAGGGGAGGACAAAGGTACCTTGACATATATTGGCATTGAGAAGGCCGGCTGACTATGATAGATGATTCTGGAGCATATGGAAATTCCCACGGCACCATTCGTCATTGTTCCTGCGGCCTGGCCAGACCGTGACAGGCGGCCAATTAACGAAATTCTGAGCCGGTCTCCTCATGCGGAGGCCTTGAAACGGTTCCCCCTCTGCATCAAACCGAATTGTGAAGGATCATCAAAAGGCATCTACTCCTTCAGCAAGGTCCATAATCTCGCCGAACTTCAAGACGGGGCCCAAAAATTAAAAACCAAATATCCAGATCAGAGTATCATCATCGAGAGTTTCCTAGCAGGAGAAGAATACACGGTAAGTATCATCGGGAGCGGAAAGTCAGCCCGGATTCTTGGAACAGTACATCTGGACTGGGAATCGGTGAGACCTGCCGATGGGTGCTACAGTACCTCGGACTGGGCCCCCGATGTTGAAGATGATTACCCCACCCGTGTTGTGAGTAGCAAGGATAATCCTAAGGTCCAGCAAGCCGAGGCACTTGCACTTCAGGCGTGGCAAGCTCTCGAGGGTCAGGATATTGGCAGAATTGATATGAGATGGGATCTAGACGGCAATCCATATGTTCTTGAGGTAAGTGTCCTCTGGAATGTACAGTCCACTACTCACCCGCTCAGATAAATGCTATTCCCGGTCTGCGGCCGAGCTGGTCGACCCTCACCAAGACAACAGAGGCTCAAGGTATCAGCCATCAAGAACTGATTGAGGCAGTTCTGGAGAGTGCTTTGGAACGATATCCGCAGGCCAGATGCAAGAACTAGTCTGCACTCTACAAACCACTGCTTATTTCCATAACCTTATCAATCTGAGGACAGTCCACCTCTTGTGCCACCATCCATATTATATTCGCTTGTTTTGTCTTCTCAGCGCGTCTCGGGTTTCTTATTGTTGGTACATAGAATATATCAAGGCGGCAGGCAAAGAAACAACCAATTTCGCTCACGAGCTGTCAATCCTCTCTTAAGATTTCTCTCTGCCAAGCTCGGAAAACGAGGGTTATTTTGTGTGGGATGTGAGGCATGGTGTAAAAAAGAGAAGTAGAGTCTACTTGTCTACATTCTATCCACTTGATCCATCAATGTCAAAGGGCCAGATGGATCTGAGAGTTCTTTCATCTTTTACTGGCTCATTGTCATCCTGGTCTGGGTTGGTCAAGACAGCCTGTAACATCCCACTGAACAGTTCCTTGTGAGCCAGTTCTGTCGCTTCCCAGGCGTCTAAGGGTACCCAACCATCTGTCGCAGTGTTGAGTAAGCCTGCCAAGTCACGACGCAAATTCTGCGCTGCTTCAAAGAGTCTGTACTCCCTCTGATGATTCGCTAATTCTTCTGCCGTAGGCATTGGGTATACGCATTGACCGTCAAATCCTAGCTCTTTCCAATGTCGGGATGTTTCAATCAACTCGTGACGTAGAGCTACTGCGCCATCCTTCCACGTCCTGTAGCAGTAGCGAAAAGGTCGAAAGAGGTTTTCATTCATCAATCTCGGTCCAGAGAGTTTCGGTGTAAGAAACTGTGAGGAGAGGTCAAAAGTCTTGGCGCAGATCTCATTTCCTGTCGCAAAGTCCGGCACTTCATCTGAATACCAAAATGCTGGTTCGATACTAGCTGCCTGCCAGTCAATAATACTGGTGATGAGAGAAGGATCGTCTTCCGAAACAAATATATTTCTCATATGCAAGTCGGGGTTGAAGAATAGCGGCGAGGCAGCGTTTTTAATCCGAGAATCCGCGGCGATTTGCCGCAGTACACTCCGGGCGTCGTCGAGAAGGCGCAAGTGTGTTTGAACCGATCCATGATAGAGTGGCTTTTTCTCGACTTCAGTATTGGCTATGGGTACCCTCGAAATGCCAGCATCAATTAGGCCATCGCAATACTCGTCAAGACTAGTCCCTGGTTATTCATCACAGTAAGTGAACTTGCCTGGAGGACCGAGATTCCGCTGTAACTTACAAGGCCCATGATTTGGCTTCACATTGTCATAATACCTATCTTCTCCAGGATCACAGTCCCAGTATCGAGTACTGCAATGTGGTCCAATACAGAAATTGTTATCCACGTATTTACTGTACTGAGAATTGAGAGTATTGTTGAAGTATATGCTCCCAAATGCCGGAAATTCCAGGTCAACTGCCTCTTTGATCATTCGGTAAATCGCATCTATGCACCGGACTTGCTGATCTCCAGCCATTTGATGCCATTTCTCGCACAATGAGACACCAGCTGCGTGTTCCATGATTATATATTCGCTACAGATGAGATTGTCTGCATCTGCAGCGTCATTATGCCAGTCAAGGATCCTAGGAATGGAAATGCTGGTCTTCGCTTGCACTATAATGGATGGATCAATCAGCTCCTGCTTAATCAACCTGCTATAACAGACTCACGGTAGTGAATCGTGGCGACCTCAGAAGCAGTGGTCAGTTTCTTTGGCCCAGCTAACGGAAATGGAAGTCTAGCCACGAGTTGCTTGGCATTATTCAACGTGAAAATAAACACCCTATTGAAACCTCCTTCAATTTTTCGACATGCTGCGATGGCGTCTGCTCCAGGACATAGATGAATAACCCTCTGGCAAAGCGCTTCGAAATTGAACTTGATGTAGCGCGAGTCACGCTCCACCTTGTCGCGACGTAACCACCGACCGCTCGTGTAAGCATAGGGGTCAATCCCTTCAACAAGTCAGCCTAAAGGAACCAGATCTGCTGCAGGGATGACGTCTTACTAAGTCCCGATGTTGTCCTTGCATGCACCTTTGAAAAACTGGAAGCATGGGTAAGTTGAAAGCAAAGCTTTACTGAATAAGATGGAGACAAAAGGTAAGGACGGAGCGTGCAAACCACGATGGGCAAAGCTGTGGACAGCCTGTAACATCTTTGGGAGAACAAGATAGAGCGAATGATCATGATATTCGATGAGAATTGATGTTATGAGAGAGACGAGATGGACGAGGTCACGAGAGCTGTTGTCAACAAGCGAGGCCGCGCTAAACCCAATATGGAAGGATAGACACCCATATCCTCACTCCATGTTAGTTATACGTCCTCGTGTACAAACAGCTCAAATTCGGATATATAGACTCAATTCCGAGGTAAGAGATTTACTTGTCTCGACGCGTGCGCGGAGAAAGACTATGGGTAAAGTTACGGAAGAGCCAAAAGGTCGCGGCAAGGCTACTTATATATATATACAATAGTCTGCTGGAACACAGCAATTATAAGGCATTTCCTAATTACTACTCTTTTGAGTCTTCGGTGTTGCAAGGCTTATACTCTACCATGGCACCGTGGTCATCAAGGTCAGCTTTCAGGGGAATATCAAGAAGGGACAATATGATAACTGGATGACCAGTGAAATGATCAGCAAACAAGATATTATAGAGTACTCACACCCTCCTCTCAGATCTCAAGCGACAAAGGGGGTTGAATATGGTATTGCCATGCTATATACTCATCCCTAGGACTACAAGACTTATTTTCTAGGTACCATCGCAACAACGCCAAGCGCAGGACTATTGTTAATTCGCTTACGCAGCCCTCCAGGATCAAATGTCACTGATGACTTGCTCGAAGCTTACTCAAGCCGTTGCACCATACCTGTGGGCCAAAAGCATTTACGTTGTACTAGACACTATCAGATTTGTCTTACATCCGAAATTCATTTCTGGTGCTGGAGTCGCACAAGATATAGGATTCTACCTTAGTGTCACTGCACCTCACAATAACTAATTTCAGTCTCTTTGAAAAGCAATTCAAGACTACTGGGTGGTGACACTGGTTTCATGACAAGCGGCATACCAAGAAAGCGAACGGTGTCCTTGACTCGGTACTACGTTCAACTGAACGGAAGCTCCTCAATTCAAAAGGGCTCTTCGGCATGGCTGTAAGGGTAAAACATCTCTTTGACTCGGCAAACCGAATTCTGAGACCCTTGAGCGCGGCATTAATTGAGATTCTTTGTTACGGCGATGAGTTTCGAGAAGTCGTGGTCCGTTCTATCTCCTGAGACAAGCCTTTGTTCCTCCGCTGTTTATGGGTTCAAAGGGTAGTTGAAAGGTTGTGGCCAACAATGCTATGATAATGAAGTGTCTAGAACATAGGAATAGTCCATTGTTGTATGTTTAAGATAACAGCCGTATGCCTCGAAGCAATGTCTTAGTCCCAATATAAATATCACTCCGATTCTATCATTAACACCATCATCTCCGTCATTTCTCTGAACCCCTACTATCTCTACCACTCTCAGTTTGAACAACGCAACCTGAAAACCACAACCGCCACAAGCACCACTCACAATGCCGAAGCAGCCCAAGTTCAAACTCCACGAGGCCCGCACCTACAAAAGTTTCCTCCTGATTCGCCCCGATGACCCCGACCTCCCTGCTCTGACGATGCTCAAAGAAGTATTGAAGATCCTGCAGGCCGGCCAGGGCAACTTCTCCCCCCGTCGGGAGTCCTTTCCCGACACGCAGGTAGGCGATCTGATTTTCGAGATCATCACCGAGGATAATTCTCTCAAGGGACTGACCGATGCTGCCTTGCAGTGCATCACACAGCAGATTGAGAACTGGGATTATGACAAGGACATGATCAGGTGGGAGCAGTATGTCGAGGGGATGGTTCTGATTGACTATAGGTATCTGCACTAGGTGAGCGTCCAGAGTTGGGCAGACTGGTGGGATCTTTCTCAGCGTGCTTTTGAGTGGGTGATTAGCATATTGCTGGAGCTTTACTTTACTTTACTTTACTCATTCAATCTGCTTCTGGGAGTGCTATCACCGCTTTTTGGGCTACAGAATCAAATCTAAGTCCAAAACTATTTGTTGTTGCATCTTTCCTGTAGGGCTAGAGTATGTCGAGTACAGACGATGTATAACAAGTTATGCTTTCTGATCGAAGCTATGCCACAGAAATTCCATGAGGTGTGCCATTTGCTAAAAGATCAACATTCTATACTCAAGATCATAAGTAGTAGAACACCGATAGATCATATGAATGATACAACGTTCACTCCAGCTACTGCTGGATGTAAAACTGGTGCAAATGTTTATCCTCTTGAATACTCTTAGGTGCCCTCATATAAAACATACTAAGCCACTTTTATAAACATTTTCAAGAGCCCTATTACGTGATTCCGTTTTGAATGGTACGGCAACCCAATGACAGAGAATAATTTACATAACCTATATCCCTAAATACAAACGCATCCAATAGTACTGGTCTCAAAAGGCTGCATCATGACCCCCAGAAATCAGAACATCCTTATTGCATTGGCTCCAGCCACGATGCTGAATACCTAGCAATGGTTCTGTTATGGAGGGATTCCAGTGAAGCGCGGTAAAATGAGATTGATGATTGGATAGGCAAGTGATTCTTCCTACAGCGAATCCACCAAATAGTCTGACAACCGAAATCATCTGGCTCAGCACCCACCGTGACAAAGCGGCACCTCATCGAGTCAACTACATGTGAAATCGTTACTTTGACAGCTTCAATTGCATGATATCTTTGAATTCGTTCCTCATACCTCGAAATCGCGATGGGAAGCCAATACCCATACTTTGGAGCCCGCTAGCGTGCCGAAGTTCGTGGCTTGAAGGCTCCCCGCTACCTACTTTTGAGAATCGGAGGGTGATTAGTGTTATTTTTAGAATAGCCATTGAGTCTTAGCAGTAGTACTAAGGTTGAGCGAATCAAAATCTGTTGCCTGAACCAAGCAGTTGCGGGGAACCGCGTGACGGGATGGGGGCTGAATGGCAGGGG